TTCTATTTGTTTATTTTTGTATTCATTGTACTTTGCTGTTTCTCGTTTGTTTAAAGTTTCGATGCAATTATTAAAATCAAATGTCGTTAAAACTGTCTTTAGTTCACTGAACAAATTGTCTATGGTGTTGTTTATGAAATGTAAATCGAACCGTTTCTGCTGAATCACCGTTCGTAACAACTTTTTACTTGCCTGATTTAAGATCTTTGCGCTTCTTCGAATGTCCTTTTTTGTTGATATTTTGACACACGTAGGAATGAGATTATGGTCTCTGCATCTCTTCAAGAAATTTAAAGATGTTATATATCTTGCGCGCTTGGTTTTAAGATCTTCTAATCGGCGAATTTTATTTGCTATTACCAGTCCGTACTGGTTCACATAATGATTTCTTAAATTTACGCGAACACTACACATTGAATAAAACTAAATTTACGGATTTTATCGCGTTTATTTCACTACTTTTACTTATTTTTAATTCCCGACGTTTCGGGTGCTTTATAGCAACCATGGTCACGGGGGGGACTGAGATGTTTGACGTCCCAATGTCATAGTTAGTCCGGCTACCTTCAGTTTTTGAATATTAATTTTTGGTCCGATTTACGCAAAACGAGCTTATAGTATCATGAAGTCTTGCAGTGGTATGCTTAGGTTTGGGTTTAATTTTGTTAATTGTAGGATCCCAAGCAGGTGGCAGCACCCATCCATCTTCTCTATTGATATTTGGATGTTTTTTAATTTCAATAGCCTCGCGTATCATCCTTGGTAGGAATCGGTGTTCTTTTGCGAGAATTTGTGGTTTATCAAAACGAATGTAATGGTGGGGACGATCTTGAACATGATCGCAGACTGCAGACTTCCCGGAGCGTCGGTGCTTCACGTCAGCTATATGTTCTTTCACGCGGGTTTTTATGGATCTTTTTGTTTGACCTATGTAAGAGAGACCACATTCACAATCTAACTTGTACACTCCTGCATCTTGTAGAGGGATGTTACACTTGACGGATGGTAAAAATTGACTAATCTTCTTCGGCGGCTTGTAGTATGTTTTAATAGAAGCTCGCTTCAAGATGTAGCCAACCTTGTCTGTGACTCCTCTGACATATGGTAGTATAGCAGGTACACGCTCGACTGTGGCCGGCTTCACTCGGTCACTGTGACGTAGGCGCGGAACCCGAAGCTTGTTGTCTTGCAATACTTGCTTGACGTGCTGAAGTTCGGCGGCCAGATGTTTTCTGTCACAGATCCCTCGTGCTCTCTGAAACAAAGATTTACCCACGGTAGCTAACTGTGAAGGATGATGGTGAGATTCACCATTTAAATATCGGTTGGTATGGGTCTTTTTTCTATACACAGTGTGACCAATTGTGTTATTAGGATTTCTGTTTCTGTTTAAAAATAATATTGGTAAGGAAGATTTGGAGGCTATACGTCAAGATATTTCGTCCTTGTTACGTCATAGTTCAGTGCCGAAACCAAACCTTCCTAAAGACGAATTTACAGTGTTGATTAACTTACGGAACAGACCAGATATAACGATTCTCCGCGCGGATAAAGGAAATGCTACGGTAATAATGGACACGTCAGAGTATAATTTTAAAATACTACAGCTTTTATCGGACGAAAGTACATACAAAAAGGTCAAAACAGACCCCACAACTAACACGCTTAAAGCAACTAGCGATTTAATAAAGCACTCCGAAAAATTAAATCTCGACGTGAATTCGCTAATACAATCATGTACCAAACTACCGAGGTTGTATGGGTTACCAAAGATACACAAACCAAACGCTCCACTACGTCCCATAGTGAGCCAGATCGATTCGCCAACTTATAAGCTGGCACAACACTTGGCAAAAGTACTGTCACCACTGAGAGGACATACCAGAGCACACACAAAGGATTCATACCATTTTGTTAGTGAGATAAAAGACCTACATCTCGCTGACAATGAAACTATGGTCAGTTTTGATGTTCAGTCACTATTCACATGCCTACCTATTGAAGACTGCATATCAATTGTAACTAGGAAGCTAGAATATAAACTGCATTTTTAAACCACCTTAACTCTATAAACTCTAAAATACAATTCACAATGGAGTTAGAGGCAAATAATTCTTTAGCTTTCTTAGATGTTGTAGTCATTCGAAATCCTAATAACACAATTGGTCACACTGTGTATAGAAAAAAGACCCATACCAACCGATATTTAAATGGTGAATCTCACCATCATCCTTCACAGTTAGCTACCGTGGGTAAATCTTTGTTTCAGAGAGCACGAGGGATCTGTGACAGAAAACATCTGGCCGCCGAACTTCAGCACGTCAAGCAAGTATTGCAAGACAACAAGCTTCGGGTTCCGCGCCTACGTCACAGTGACCGAGTGAAGCCGGCCACAGTCGAGCGTGTACCTGCTATACTACCATATGTCAGAGGAGTCACAGACAAGGTTGGCTACATCTTGAAGCGAGCTTCTATTAAAACATACTACAAGCCGCCGAAGAAGATTAGTCAATTTTTACCATCCGTCAAGTGTAACATCCCTCTACAAGATGCAGGAGTGTACAAGTTAGATTGTGAATGTGGTCTCTCTTACATAGGTCAAACAAAAAGATCCATAAAAACCCGCGTGAAAGAACATATAGCTGACGTGAAGCACCGACGCTCCGGGAAGTCTGCAGTCTGCGATCATGTTCAAGATCGTCCCCACCATTACATTCGTTTTGATAAACCACAAATTCTCGCAAAAGAACACCGATTCCTACCAAGGATGATACGCGAGGCTATTGAAATTAAAAAAACATCCAAATATCAATAGAGAAGATGGATGGGTGCTGCCACCTGCTTGGGATCCTACAATTAACAAAATTAAACCCAAACCTAAGCATACCACTGCAAGACTTCATGATACTATAAGCTCGTTTTGCGTAAATCGGACCAAAAATTAATATTCAAAAACTGAAGGTAGCCGGACTAACTATGACATTGGGACGTCAAACATCTCAGTCCCCCCCGTGACCATGGTTGCTGTAAAGCACTCGAAACGTCGGGAATTAAAAAAAAAGTAAAAGTAGTGAAATAAACGCGATAAAATCCGTAAATTTAGTTTTATTCAATAGGATAATGATATTATATTTTATTCTGTATAGTATAGTTATTTCTGGTGTAAAAAAAACGTACGATAATATCGTTCTTTTTAAAAATATACAAATATTGAGGAAACAAGTCTAATATGATGCAAAAATACGCAAAACGCAATTCACTTCATAATTTTTAGGTTAACCCCATAATTACTCCCAACTAAGTTTCATTTTTATTCTATTAATAAATAATATTAATAAAAATAAAAATGAAACTTAGTTGGGACTAATTATGGGGTTAACCTAAAAATTATGTAAGTGAATTGCGTTTTGCGTATTTTTGCATCATATTAGACTTGTTTCCTAAATATTTGTATATTTTTAAAAAGAACGATATTATCGTACGTATTTTTACACCAGAAATAACTATATTGTTAATTTTTATGTTAACATCAAGAAATGGAAAACAGATTTTTTCATTAATTACTAGCGATCCTCCGCGGCTTCGCACGTGTGATTTCTGGATCTCGAGAACAGCGCCACCTACCGGGTTCAATTGTGAATCTAAATCACCCAGGCAGCTACTCAAACACACCAAAATTTTCATTTATTTAATCAGATTTTCGAGTTTTAAGGCGATTAATGGACAACAAGTGATTTTTTATATATTAGATTTGCTACCATTTCGGAACCCAAAAATATAAGAAAATGTACAAAAATTAGTGATTTTCTGTACTGTTCACATTCTTTATACTATCCAAAATCACCGCCGTAACTATTGCGGTTTGTTCATTCCCTCGATGCAATTTGCAGATCTTATTTATAAACTCTCCTAAAATACCCTACCTCCAGAACTAAGTTCTATTCTCATTTATTTACATTACATGCAGTTAGGTTATGGAATTGTCTTCCTGCTGAGATTCGAGATTTAAAAGAAGCACTACTTTTCTTAGTCGCCCTGATAAGTTCATGCATGATATATATATATATATATATATATATATATATATATATATATATATATATATATAGCTTGCCAGGCAGACGTTGTCCTGCCCTTTTCGGCTACACTTTGTCACGCCCTACTAAAAATCCTCATTTTCGCAAAAAAAATTGTGGGTCACTCATGGGCAAAAAACTATCCTATCTCTCAAGTTGGGCCAAACTACATACGATGTGCAAATTTGATTAAAATCGGTTGAGTAGTTTAGGAGTCCATCGCGGGCAAACAACGTAACACGTAATTTTATATTAAGACTAGCTTGCCAGGCAGACGTTGTTCTGCCTTTTTCGACGACCCTTTGTCATGTCCTATTAAAAATCCTTAAATTCGCAAAGAAATATGGGTCACTCATGGGCAAAAAAACTATCCTATCTTTCAAGTTGGACCAAACTGCACACGGTGTGCAAATTTGATTAAAAATGGTTTGGTAGTGTAGGAGTCCATCGCGGACAAACAACGACACGTAATTTATATATATTAAGATATACATATATAATTTATATTAAGATACATGTGTGCGTATGTAGGTATGAATATATAATCATATCATAAACACTCACGCCTGTCACCCAGAGGGGTAGGCGGAGACTACAGACTTCCATTTGGCACGATCCTGACTCACCTCTCTCGCCTCCTCTACATCCATATACCTACGCATATAAGCTCGTCGGTTAAGGGTACTCCTAATTTTTCCCATTTTCAATATATCACCAATTTGGTCGATAAACTTTCGCCTTCGTCCCTTTCCGACTTTGTCGAAAATTTTCGTATCTTCTAGACATAACTTGGATTAATTTCTACATCTATAAAATACGAATAGCTATAAGTATCAACTTTACACAAAGTGTTAAGATTATTATTGTAATGGTGATGTGATTTTAATTCTTCTTACTTTAATGTGACCTTTTGAAAATTTGCAGATTTATCAGCAGTCACAAATTCAAAGCCCAGTTGCTTCGCACTCTCCACTCCAGTCTGTAAGTAAATTATTTTGAGACATCTATGGTCTGTTGCAAATATTAATTTGAAAGAAACAAAACATTATTATAAATAGTATAGAATATTATTGTATGATAGTATAGAAATTATTTTATGCTATTATATAATAATATTTTGTTTCTTTTATTTAGTAATTATTTTTGTAAAATACTAAATATCAAAATTTTTAAAATGTATGATGTTATTTCACCTACACATCCATTTTGTTCATTAGCTTTGACTTTTTATATTAAGTAGATGTAATGTAATAATTTATATGTTTTTAGAATGATTACACAGCTGGCAGATTTTCAAGACCTGTTCCAGGTTGCTCACCATTACCGACACGTTTTGCAAGACCTCCGCAACATCAACAGGGTAATTTGAAGATGAAATGAGAAAATATTTTCTCACTTGAATTTAATATTTTGAATTGTATTGTATTTTATATATTTTTTATTTAATTAAATTGTAATATTTAACAGGCATGAGAGTTGGCGTTTCCTTTGGCAATCGGCAACAAACTTCTCCATTAGGCAGTCCGCAGCCACTGCCATCGCCTGGCAACACAGCTAATGAAATGACTGTAAGTAAACTGTTTACTGAATTCTACTAGAAATATTTTCGAAATGTATTTAATATAAAATAGTCAATATATGTAATCATTATTTTTTTAATATTCTCACGTTTTCGCAACACATTGCTCGATATAGACTATTACAAAAATGGAAAGAAAGGAGTGTCATTTTTTTGTTATTTTAATAGATCAATTTGAGCTTTTCGTTAAAAGTAATTAAACGTATTGTTTTGGCAGCGCCAGCAGCTACTTCAGCGGCAGCAGTACAGCCCAATGGGTGCGGCGCCCGCATCGCCGTCACTGTCACGGTCGCCGCACGTGGCGCGTACGCCCACACCGTCCGCTTCGCCGGCCGCGTCGCCCGCACCGCCCACGCACCCCGGGCCTTCCGCGCATCCCCACCCCGAGCACGGTGGCGGGCAGCACGGACAAACGCACGCGTCGCCGCTGCCGTCGCTGCACGGCCACGGCGGCGGCTTCCGCCACAACGCGACGCCACTCCCGCCCGGCTACCGCTACTTCAAGCCCGGCCTCTTCGGCGGCGCGCCCGTTTGGCCCAAGGACGAAGACAGGCGCCATCCCACGCACCTCAGTAAAGTCTCAATCGTCAAGCGGCGAACACCTCCGCGACCCAGATTTACAGGAAAGACGGCCGCACCCTGCTCCGAGAGTCGTTCGGACGAAATGGGAGAGACGAGCGACGGGAGGAAATATGTACTATATGCGGACGGCGTCGATTACACCCAAACGTCGGACGACTCCGCTCGCATGAGTTTCTCAAAAAACGATACGGACGATGACATTGAAGAGTTCGTGGAGCATTTGGACGACGATGACATAGTTGTCGTTGAACCCGGAGCAATATCTCCTGAAGAACGCATAGCTACCGAAGAAGACTTTGAGGAGTTGATCGACAGCGGCAAACCTGAAGATGAAGCGGAAGAAGAAACGTCTCAACCAGAAAAATGTTCGACTAGGACCGAAACTACTACAAAAACTGTTGCAGTTATTAGCCTTGCTACCGCTAAACAGCCGTCCGCGAGCATCCAACAGTATAAAAGAGTTAATCCATCACAGGGCTCGACACTTTCGCGAATACCAGTATTGAGTGCTACGGTGTTATCTCCACACACTAACTCAAAAATTCTCAATGAAGTGTCACAAGCCACCGTTGCGTCAGTTTCTATAGCCAACCAGACTATTTCGGTTCCGGTCTTGAAAAATCTCGCGGTACCCATTGCAAGTGTAACTGGACACGCTGGAGGACCCAAACCTCAGATAAAAAAAGTTCCTCTTAATCTCACTAATTCTCCTTTGACAGTTAATATATCATCTCAATCCCTTTCTAAACCAATAAGTTCGGTCATTAGTGTAATATCCTCCAACGTACCAAAAGTAGCGAATTTAAATCCCGTAATTACACTTGCGACTTCGAATACCGGTAACACCAGACTTCCGGTATCGATTTTAACGCAACACCAAGTTAAACAGAAGATAGTAAAAACAATTGAAAAACCGATGGCATTATCACTGTCTAATTCGAAATTGTCTAGCTTGTCCGTAACACATGATGTGACTTTGCCGGCTAAAATTTTCCAAGACGAAGCGGCCTCTCCTGATAGTACAGTTTCCGGTGAAAATAATTCTGATATCCAGAATCCAAGTACATCTATATCTTTGCTAACTCTGACATCGCATGGCTCTTCCCAGAAAGAACACAAACCATTATCGATAATGAAAGAAACAAATAAAGATATCGACATTGAAAGTGAAATAAGCCAACAAACGGAACTGCCGCATACGCTTTGTATTACAGACAGAACACCTCTTCTGTTAGGAAAAGCTGATATAAAGAGTCCGGATCCTATTCCTGAAAAGATTCCCGACAATATAATGGAAGGTGATGATGAAGATAAACCTGAGGATAATTTACAAGGAAATTTGTTGCTGGCTTATAATAAGTCAATACACGATACATCAATTCAAAATACGCCAGCAGAAAATAAACAAGATGAAAGTGTTGTAAAGACCATAAAAGCTATTGCTAATCAAACCAAGGAAATGGTTATTGACTCAAATATGCAAATAACATCCGATATGGCGCAAGAATCGGTTCAGATATCTATACCTTCACCAACACCATCCCAAGAACGATACCTTAATGATATCACGATGCGAGAACACTCTGAAGCGGTTGAGGGCAACTCCAAACATGTAGAAACATTTGAAGACATGCTTTGTATTTTCGAAAATATAGCAGATGACTCAAAGGCATATAGTATGAAACATCCGAATCAGAAACAAAACATGTCAAATACTCCTAATCAAAATGTGAATATAAACACACCCTCAAAACAAGATAGCAAAGAAGTTCAAGAACAACCAGCTTTTTTAAAACGAGAACAGGAGAAGCTGACAGTACAGTCTGCTGCAGTGCCTCAATTGTCTCCTTTGTCACAACCAGCAGAATTAACTTCTAACATGGCAAATGTATCTCAACAGTTACGTACTATTATGACCTCACTAAACACAAACACATCGAAAATGGAATCTCAAAGTATATCTAATATGAGAAAGTCCAATGACGCAACAACTCCCACGCAGGTTAACTTTGAAAATCTATTGCCTTCATCCAAAGTTGAAGTTGCTGCTTCTCGACCTTCTCCTGTTCAAAGAATTGAAAAACCTACAACTTCCATTCAAAGTTCAGAAAGTATGTCTATAACTGCAGCTCAGATGATGGGTTCGCGTGTGAACACATTATCGTCAATGAGCCAATTAAGAAAATCTCCTACTGTATCTCCAATAAACTCGCCGGTAGGTATGCAGAATACTTTAATGAAGTCGCCTGCTCAGTCACCTCTAATAACTAATCAATCTTTCATGCAAAATGAAGATACCAATGTTGCGACAGTACCTTCGCAAGTCATTCAAATGCCGGCGCTATCAAAAATTCATAGTAACTCTTCTGCACCAGTCTCTATGATTCATTCGAACAATACGATTACCACTAGCGTAAGCAGTTTCCAAAAAGGTCAGCAATTACCCACAAGTATATTAGGTCATACCCTACTGCAACCGACAAGGCAGATTAACACTAGCAATCTTTCATTTAATTCTCAGAATATTAGTTCCAGCCAACCTCCAGCTTTAGTTATGACATCAAGGTCGGTAATTGGAAATAAAGAACCAGCGCCAAATGTCACAGTACGGACACACGCTATTGTGAGTCCTGGAATGAGCCAAATGCAAATGAAATGTAATCAATCATCTGGCTCTATAAATTTCATAGCATCTTCAAAATTATTGCATACGCAACTGACATCGCCGTTAAAAAGATCAAAATCAACCGATGAGCCAAAAAGCGAGGTTGTTGTTGGTCACATACAACCTACGAAGAGGCATAGCGTGGAATCGGTAATTGTTAAATCGGAGCCGATGGAAACAGATGAATCCAATGCAGCATCTTTAAACGAGAATACTGTAAATAAAAACACTCCGCCAGGTACCGGTAATCAAAGAAATGACGAATCTCAAAATGTTCTCCTAAAACAATTATTACAAACGACAACTTCTGCGGCGACTGTAGTCCCACAGCGTACCATGACAATACAGAGAACAGCACCCGCTTTGGGTACTATACCATCCTTAGAGGCTCAATTAGCTAGGCCATCAATACCACCGCCTACGTTAGCTTTGTCTCAGGAAGTTGAGATACCGAATAACTCTCCAAGGCATTTGACAACAGTCAGTTCTAATTTCGGCAATCGCCCCTCAATTCCTACATCCTCAATTACCATACAGACGTCAATTCCTACATCTTCAATTTCACCATTAATTCATACTTCAACGCAATCTTTGATGGATGTTAGGAAACAACCCATAAAAGTGATGACCAAAGAAGAAACTACACCAGTTCCAGAAAATTCACCGACGATGAAATCAACACCAATGTATTCAATGAACTTAGAAAATCAACAGATGCTTCAAACAATAAAAAAAGAAGTCGCCCCTCCACAACAAAGTCCGGTTCACAGACCCTTTACGCCAATGGACGTGAAAAAAGAATTGCTTGATGAAAGTTCACAACAGTCTGCAACTTCCGGTGTTTCTACAGCTTCTGATCAAGGAAAATTAGATCAACCTATGAAAGAAGAATATCCTGAAAGCGTTACTATGGATTCGACATCAGAAACAAATGCACCCGAAACACCTTCTGAAGCAAAGAAACGCAAGAGGCGAGAATACCAACAAAAGAAGCGCAAACAGATGCAAATGAATATGAAAGCAGCTGCTGAAAATAATTTAAACACACCTAATGCTAAGAAACGACCTAGGAAAGGCTCCAGATATGAAGAAGATTATGACACATTTATTGACAATTTAATGACTCAACTGCGACTCTTGCCGCCAATGCAAATTCAGGAACCTACGCTTACCACGAATTTCGCCGTTTGTCCGCTATTTGGTTCTGGTGATTTGACTAAACTGAAAAATAAAGACTATGATATTTTAAAAGGCGATCTTGTTGGAGAGTTTGGTAATGCGAAGATACCGAATGTAGCGGATTATTACAACACTAAACCATTTGGTGATGAAGAACCATTACCGGAAAAACCACCAGCTTCCACTCAACGGGGTTTCTATGATCAAGAATTTCAACCGATCATATTTGACGAAGACCCCGAAGACAAGAAATTGGACTTTATCTGCAAAGAAAGAGATACAGATACACCTGATAGTATTATAAGCTGCTCTAGTCCTGAAGGATTCGAAATTGAGCCTGCTAATAGATTCCCTGGCTTAAGATTTATCGACGATGACGATGAAGAAGACGACAGTGATACGCCATCAGGTCGAGTTTCACCTATAATACCACTTATTGCGCCCATACCCATAAGAGTAAAACCTTTATCGTTGTATCAACTTAAAGATGAAGATGATAATCAAAAATCGATTAAAAGCATTGACACTGATTCTCCGCTAAAGAGTAAAATCGATGATTCTCCTGGAAGTACAGAAAGCAATGAGAATGTTACAGTGACGTTAACATTAACTTCAGGAGCTGCTGAAGATATTCTAGGTGTGCTGAAAGAGCTCGCTGGCATACTCCACATACCGCCGCCGACGTCATATCAAATTATTGAAAGAACTGCTACACCACCTTCACATAAACTTGGGCTTTATAGATCTAAGGGAAAAGATGGCAAAGAAGGAACTCCTATTGATATTCAGAGTATTTTAAATGGAGCAGCAAAATTCTGTCGGCATTGTGACGTGGTTATATTAGATTCAGTAGTCCGTGCAAAGGCTTCAGAATTTCCCCTACTGTCAGCTAATAAAGGCAACGCTGAAGAAATTCTCTGCGATAGCGATTCTGAATTATATTTTTGCAGTACACAGTGTTATGAAAGATTCGCATGGCGACCAACTAATATTATCCTTGATGGAAAATCTAAAACTAACATTAAGGATGAAAACAAGTCTGATGTTGAGAACAATCTGTCAAAGGACAGAGACGATTTTGACACAGCATCGACAGAGAGTATGGAAACTGATGATTTGGATATTAAGCCTGATATAAAAGATGAAAAAATGGATCTTTCGTTTATCGATTCCCTAGATAACGACGAACTGATGAAGGAAGTCGGAGATGACGTTAGTGCTTTAGATGAAGACTTGAAGAGCGAAGAGCAAGATGAGAAAAGTAATCAAAGCATTGAAAGGGAAAAATACAGGGGTATTCGATATAAAGCGTGGTCGCCGGGATGTATTGGTCCACCGGTTAAATACAAACGTCCCACAGATAGAGAGCTTACAGAATTGGTATTTAAAACGGGTGTTGCTATCATGCCGGTCACTAATGAAGATGCGCGTAAATGTGAACTTTGTGGTATACAGGGCGATGGAGTCGGTGACGGTGTATCGAGACTGTTGAACTGCGATGTTGACAGATGGATACATCTCAATTGTGCGTTATGGTCAGAAGGCGTTTACGAGACCGTGAGTGGAGCGTTAATGAATGTAGACAGCGCTCTCGTTGCGGGTATGAGCGCTACATGCGCAGTCTGCAGAAGGCTGGGCGCGACTGTCAGATGCTTCAAGGTGCGCTGCGGTAGTGTCTACCACCTGGGCTGTGCCGTCAAAGATAACTGCGTTTTTTATAAGAACAAAACTGCATTCTGCGCCTCGCATGCTCCTAAGGTAAGATTTACTTATTACTTTTGTTTAAATAGATGTTTTGTGGACTTTAATGCATCCATGTGCGAAGTGACAGCTGGATAGATATATAAAAGTTTTAAAAAGTAGTGTGCTGTTAAAATCATCAAACAATATGAAATTGTTTTTAGCCAGTTCATCGTCATCTATTAAAACCTTCACATTTTTGTATCGCGTGGAAAGATGATGATTCAGATTAGGAAGAAACAAATACATAACCGTAACGTAATACTTTTATACAAATACTAAATCTCTATATATAAAATCAATTGCTATCTGTTAGTCTCGCTAAGAGCTGATCCTCATTTGCCGTTCACAGTACGTTCTCAGTCCGATCTCGGTCTGATTTATTATACAATGTGTCCGGTTACCGGTGTCGGAGCTTTTAATGCTATAAAATATAATCAATTTCATCGACAAATCATGTCTCAAATCTCATTTAGACCTAGCTGTATTTAAATGGCAGCCATTTAAATTTTTCAGTGTCACCACCTCGACCCCGCGTATTAAAACTACAATATTCACCGATGTAGAAGTCCTACATTCTTAAAAGATGCTCATTGGATAGATAAAGATACGCGTAATAAAATAAAAGCAAACTTTTAACTGCAAAATTGTATCTAGATCTTAAAAAGACTTCGGTTATTTTTCACATTCTCGTCAAGTCAAGTCATTTACCTAATGATTTTTTACATTTATCAGATAGATCAGAACATATCCTAACCAAAAACATAAAAATTTTAATTGTAAATTAAATAGTTTAAGAATTGTAAAACAAAAACTAAGCGCAACGCACGTGCAGGATCATTTATGATAGTTCAAGAGCAGGTAGAAAAACCTAAAGCCCACTGTTTGATGTTCTAAACAAGTAATAAATAATAATAATAATAAATTTATTTATTGAATAAAACCATATTGACACTACAAAGTTGAAGCCCTGACTCCCGAACTAGCAATAGCTGTGTGTCGGGAATCAGTTCCAGAAGTGTACTTGGGACAACAAAAACAGTCGTCCCTCGCCACGTGCCACGTGCCACGTGATTACATTACATTTGCCCCTCTAAGATCGCTTATTGTTGTTATTGTTAAAAAAAATCCGTTTTGTGGAACTTTTTAAGTTTGTGGTGAAGTTTCTAGTTATTTTCAAAAATGGCAGATGGTAAATACTCAAACCAGCATGTCGCTGATATCCACTTTGTGTATGGATTGTGCAACGGCAACGCAAACAGAGCTGTCACAGAGTACACCAGAATGTTTCCCAACAGGCCTACACCAAATGCTCGCACTTTTGTAAGGATACATTTGCGGATAGCTGAACTTGGGATCAGAAGATCCGCTAATGAAATATTTCGGCTTGTGGCACCTGAGGAGGAAGAAGAGATATTACGTTTAATTACACAAGATCCCAGACTCGGTGTAAGACGAATAAGCAATATGATTAATTTAACAAAATGGTCAGTGTGGAGAGTTTTAAAGAGGGAAGGTTTGCATCCTTACCATTTTCGGCGGGTACAAGACATTCGCGAACCTGATTATGCTATAAGGGCAGTTTTTTGTTCGTGGATCAATAGAAGAACAAGACAAGATGCAGATTTTTTAAAAAGAATTTTGTGGACTGACGAAGCCACTTTCACGAGATCGGGTTATACAAATCACCGTAACGAGCATCTGTGGCTTCAAAACAACCCTCATGCCGTTAGAGAAAGTACTTTCCAACATGAAATTCGAGTGAACGTTTGGGCTGGAAAGACGATATTTTAGTTGGGCTGATAATTTTACCAGAAATTATGAATGGCCCAAGATTTTTAGAGTTTTTGCAAACACAGTTTTTGGAAGAATTAATGGAGCTTCCATTAACTCACAGAGCAAGGATGATTCTCCAACTTGACGGTGTACCTGCACATTTTGCAGTAAATGTGCGAAATTATTTAAATGAGCGCTATTCGCCATGGATTGGTCGCGGTGGAAGGATCGCTTGGCCTCCGCGTTTACCGGATTTAACTCCCTTAGACTTTTTTCTATGGGGCACTATGAAGCAAAGAGTTTATGCGAACGTGCCAAACTCACGAGAAGAGTTGATTAATAAAATAATCGAAGTTGGAAATGAATTGCGACAAGATCGGGAGATGATCAGACGTGCAACTCAACATGTGGCAATAAGGGCTACAACATGTCTCCAACATCGCGGAGGTCATTTCGAACAGTTTTTATAAATAAGTTTTTAGTTACGTGCATTTTGAAATGTTGTGTTTCACTCTTCTCATCAATTGACTTTGTCTGTCTGCAACCAGGACGACAAATTTTTCAAAGGTCATATTCAAATAGTTATTATACTGTTTTTTTTTTTTGGTTACAATTAAGATTTTTATGTTTTTGGTTAGAATATGTTCTGATCTATCTGATTAATGTAAAAAATCATTAGGTAAATGACTTACTTTTTTCATTAAAGTCGAAAATGTGAAAAAATAACCGATTTTTTTTACATTTTTTTCTTTTCTACCTCTTTTTTAGGATCTAAATACAATTTTACAGTTAAAAATTTGCTTTTATTTTATTACGCGTATCTTTATCTATCCAATGAGACATCTTTTAAGAATGTAGGACTTCTACATCGGTGAATATTGTAATTTTAATGCGCGGGGTCGAGGTGGTGACACTGAAAAATTTAAATGGCTGCCATTTAAATACAGCTAGGTCTAAATGAGATTTGAGACATGATTTGTCGATGAAATTGATTATATTTTATAGCATTAAAAGCTCCGACACCGGTAACCGGACACACTGTATTATTGGAATGGGATTCGAGCGAAACTTGACTGTTACGGATAGTATGACACACATATATTTTACTTGATACTATTTTATCAGACCGAGATCGGACCGAAAACGAACTGTGAACGGCATTATGATGAGAATCGGCCCTCGGATCGGATCGATTTTGATGAAATTTTTTTTGTGTATTTGATTTGGTCACTGGATGGCTTAGTTTCTCAATTGGCCCTGGTAGGTGGCGCTGTTGTAGAGATCCAGAAATCTTCCGTGCGAATCCGGGGCGGATCGCTAATAATGAACACAAAAACAAATAATTTGTTTTAAAATTTTCTGTATTCTTATGGGTTTCGGAATTGCGATTAACTGCTTTCCTTGTTCCGTTGTGCCTACTACTGTCCTGTTGCATTTCCTAAACATTATTTGATTAAGTTTGGTGTGTGTAAGAACGTTAAACGTAAAGTTGTCGGCGGCAGAACGAGAAGGACAACGAGCTGACGACGCTGAGCGTGCAGCGGCGCGTGTTCGTGTCGCGCGACGAGCAGCGCCAGGTGGCGTCGGTGATGCTGCACTCGGACGCCAACCACCTCATCCGTGTCGGCGGACTCATCTTCCTCAGCCCCGGCCACCTGTTGCCGCACCAGCTGCCCGCCTTCCACACGCCCAACTACATATACCCCATCGGATACAAGATCGTACGTTACTCTTTGCTTTTTATTTGTTTTTTTGTTTGTTTATTAAACTCATATAACGCTATTTATAAAAAAAAACACAGATCAATACTTTTTCAATATTTTGTATTTCATCGCAAATAGAATTACATACAAATAGGTTTAAAATAGCTGTAAGCTCTGGTTCACTGATCCTTTGTAAGTGACTGGTGGCTGAAATTGTCACAAAAAAAGACTTGTTACACAGGTCACAGCCCTCGCAGATACACAAAGTACTATTTGAAGTTCGTAAAAAAAGGTCCCTTTCAGATATAAGAGGAGAAAACAAAACTCTTGATTAAATAATCAGTGGAGGTTAATATAATTAAATACAAGTTACACCTCAAGTTCAACACAAGTTCACACCTACAATATTATAATGGTTAGCATAATTATTTATCTCCTCATTTGCTTCCCTAACGACACCCACGGGATATGAGGTAGTGGATATTTATACACCGCAACTACACTTTTATTTACTTATTGTAAGCCAGTGATTGACCAAATCCCACCTGATAGTGGTGTGAGTCTGATGGTACCACCACTATTCGTATACTTTTATTGTGTCCAGTGTGGAAAGTGATGTGTGTGTTGGTCCGCAGGTGCGCTTCTACTGGTCAATGTCGCGCGCGAATAGCCGCTGCCGCTACGTGTGCTGGATCTCGGAGGAAGACGGGCGGCCGCGCTTCCACGTACGCGCGCAGGATGAGGCGCGCCGCGAGCTTAGCGCGCCCACGCCGCGCGCCGCCTGGGCCGCCGTACGTACGCACGCACATATGCACACGCACAGACAATCACACTCTGCTACGTGTGCTGCATCTCATAGGAGTACGGGCCGCCGCGCTTCCAAGTTCGCGCGCAGGAGGACGGGTCGCTGTGCTTCCAAGTCCACGCGCAGGAGGACGAGGTGCGCCGCGAGCTTAGCGCGCCCACGCCGCGCGCCGCCTGGGCCGCCGTACGTACGCACGCACATATGCACACGCACAGACAATCACACACTGCTACGTGTGCTGCATCTCATAGGAGTACGGGCCGCCGCGCTTCCAAGTTCGCGCGCAGGAGGACGGGTCGCTGTGCTTCCAAGTCCACGCGCAGGAGGACGAGGTGCGCTGCGAGCTTAGCGCGCCCACGCCGCGCGCTGCCTGGGCCGCCGTACGTACGCACGCACATATGCACACGCACAGACAATCACACTCTGCTACGTGTGCTGCATCTCATAGGAGTACGGGCCGCCGCGCTTCCAAGTTCGCGCGCAGGAGGACGGGTCGCTGTGCTTCCAAGTCCACGCGCAGGAGGACGAGGTGCGCTGCGAGCTTAGCGCCGCCCACGCCGCGCGCCGCCTGGGCCGCCGTACGTACGCACGCACATATGCACACGCACAGACAATCACACACTGCTACGTGTGCTGCATCTCATAGGAGTACGGGCCGCCGCGCTTCCAAGTTCGCGCGCAGGAGGACGGGTCGCTGTGCTTCCAAGTCCACGCGCAGGAGGATGAGGTGACTCATCACTCAGAGGTACAGACTCAATATTCACGTACCCTTTAATATGAAAATATTAAAGTATTATGACTTATTTATATGTTTTCAAAACAAATCATTTATTTGTTACATATTTTAACTTTGAGATGTTTCGATGTACTTTTAACTAGAGATGGGCCGAATATTCATTTTATATTCGGTATTCGGCATATTCGGCAGCTTTGCCCAATATTCGTATTCTGCCGAATATTCGACTAAATCACCGAACATTCGTTAAAGTGGTACTCAAAGTGTCCACTGTATTTTAAATGTACGAATTAAGTAATGCCATGTTTTTCATAATTTTACTCTTGAAAGTATATTTTATTTATGGGTTAAATCTACTTGTATAGCGTTATGTTTTAGAGGCACTGTAGAAAGCTTAATAATTATTTTGTAATCAAACAAATAAATATTACATTACATTAGTACATTTCAGTTTACTTTGGTCGTCAGTTTCTCTAAAATAGGTACATATGGTATATCTCCTGCCACTCATTTTTGTCACATAATTATTAGTTTTCATTAAGAATAACACAAGGAAATACTTTTTTTCAGAAAAATAGTCAAAACATAAGCATGTACCGGTAATTTGCTCAGTATTAATGCAATAACATGTCAGGTGTGGCGGGGGAGCGAGAGGCAGGGTCCGGCGCTAATCCCGCGCACTTTACGGTAACAAGTTTTGACATAAATTGGTTATGTACCAAGGTGATCCTGCCGAATAAAGTTCGGCCGAATATTCGGGTCGGTAAAAGTTTTACTGAACTTTTGGCCGAATATTCGTATTCGGTGAAATCCAATGATAGTGTATATTATAAAGGAGGTAGATGACACATGCTGATACTTTACGTCTTTCTAAACTTGTTCCGTTTTAACGTATACATGCTTATTATATCGATACACGTAGTTTTTTCAAATGACTGCGATGGAGTATGCAAATTGTACGCGTGGGAAAGAGATAGATGATACTTAAAGACGTTATGACGTTCAAGTTAATGCTATCCCTTTTACACTCAGTTAAATTTATACTCTAAAATTTCTTCTAGTAAACGTAATAATTATTAAATTTAATGTAAAATGATCTAAATGTATGATAATTTTGAACAAACCTACGTGTTTTTATTTTGGAATAATAATTTTACACTTCCGCATCACACAACTCGGCATTTCAAAAATATTTTTTTGCGTTAGTACGTGCGATCCATATCGCGGTTTCCGCGTCACTAAATAGAATTCTTATAATTGTGTGAATTTGAATTGAACACTTTTTATGCGTATATGCCTCATCTACCCTAATATACACTACAGTATCACTGGCGAAATCCATATTCGGCCCATCTCTACTTTTAACAAAAAGTGTTTCTGTTATTTACCCGAATACTACACATTAAAAAACATTTCTCTATTAATAATATTGTAAAATGTTTTATTGCTAAGATTGTAATGTTCTATTGTTAAGATTGTAAAATGTTTTACAGGTGCTAGACGCAGTTGCGGCTTTACGGGAAAATCGGGAAGAAGAGGGCGTGTTAAAATTGTGGCCCAACTATGTCACTGGAGAAGATTTATTTGGTCTCACCGAGCCTGCCGTCGTACGTGTGCTTGAGAGCTTACCTGGTTAGTCAGTTTTATCACTTACATGTTATAAGATAAACCATGTAATACTTTGCCTTAAAGCTAGTTGAATAGTATTGATGCGCAGATGAAATCAGACTGGCGATTTGGAGTGGCGTTATAAATGCACGGATGTATAGTACTAAAATCTCTTATCTGCTATACAATATCCTATAGTAGAAAATATAGGAAATATTTTCTACTATAGGAGAGGCCCATATGTAATTGTAGACTAACTACCTGATAAGAAAGTTATGTACGGTTAGTAACTTCTTAATCTCGCGCACCAAATGTTGCTGAAACCGTAGTAAATGTATTTTCTAGTGTTTGTATATGCCTCGCTATAGTAGACGTTGTGCTATTTCATACACAGACGTTGTGGTATATTACGGAAAAACAACATGTGAGAGTGTAGTTTTTTTCCGGTCGAGCCGACTCTTTTCTGTTGCAACCAGTGTTGCACGCAGCGAAGTATAAGTGCTTGGCCAGACAGCAAACGCAGACGCGGGGCGGGCGTGGCGCGACTGATTCAAACATAAAGTCTCCCTTTGAGTGTCCATAGTAGCCACGTGGGCGCGGGGCGGACGCGGTGGCGGGCGTGGGCTTGTTTGCGCGAAGAGCGCACGGGCAATTCACTCCATAGCTTGTTCATGTGCTGTGGCTACACTAAGGAGCAACGTCAATGCCTATAAACGCAACAATTATTGCCTCAAATTTAACGCGATAAAATGAGTGGCTACACTTGAACGGTCAACGTCGTTTCAATTTCAACGCCGTTGAACGGCATTAAATTTGCCGTTGAATGGCGTTAAATTTGCCGTTGAACGGCGTTAAATGTTTCGACCGGGGAAGGACCACGCTCTCACAGAATACCGGCGTAAAATAGTAGCTTAATGCTGCTGTGTTTCGTATGGTGAGTGTAGAGAACCAGACTCTTTTTACTGGAAACGAGGCATTCCATCCTAGTCCTCACGGGTGACAACGCATCTGCATATTGATTCGTAATCGAGGATAGATGTGGATGTCTATGGGCTACAGCATCCACATACCATCAGGTGGACTGTGTGCTTGTTTGTCACTCTATCCTATAAAATAAAAAATAAACAAAGAAAAAAGAATACAAAGAAAAAGAAGATGGTGGATGCTACAAATGCACAGGAAACGTACACTGTAAATCTATTTATGTTTTATTTTGTTTTTTCCGCACCCAAATTGCACTAGAAAGACGAGCTAAATAATAAGACAAACGTTAATATATTTTAATGAAATAATAACTAATAAGTCAATCATAAATACTGGTCAAGTGCGAATTAGATACACGTACCCAGGGTTTCGTACCACTGTACACTATGAGTTTTGACCTGCAAAAATTGTTTTTTTTTCTCCTGCTTATTTTTCTTAGTTTCATACCGTAAATTAAAGTACTTTTGAAAAATTTTTTTAATTCAATCTCGAAAAACTTTTTCATTACTCCACTCCATGGCAGCCATACGTGCAACCCCGTGGTATTCACTGTGCACAATGAGACAAACGTAGTGTGGTGGCTTCAACGCGATAATTCGCGCGTTAATCCTTTGATGTACCGCCACTCGAGTTATCCGGAAATTGGAAACGGCATTGTTAATGCCGTTGTCAAATTATCGCGTTAATTCGTGGCCACACCTACATTCAACGTCTATCTACGCGATAATTAACGGCATTTCTCCTTAGTGTGGCCGGGCCAATACAATTGGTCGCGTTGAGTGCGCGGGCGGCAAGCGGCTAACCACGCGAGGAGCGGCCATCTCAAACCACATGGAGCTAACCGCGCGCGTTGTAATAGCGACTTCAGAAATAAATGCAGAAGAAATTATTTTATAAGACAATTTACTATGTTTTCTAACATACAGTGTGTAATGGTGGATAATCTGGTACGTGCGTGTTTGGGTGAGGGGAGGTGGTCTCGGTTCCATAAAAAATTGTATCCCGAACGGTTCGCACTCTACATCATGTTTTAAAAAATTCCGAAAATTCGCACTTCTGCTCACATTCGTAGACATCATCATCATTCATCATCATTATAGCCCTTCACAAGTCCACTGCTGAACATAGGCCTCCCCCAAGTAATGACACAAAGCACGGTCCTGAGCCACCTGCATCCATCGACTTCCTACATGTCTTACCAGGTCGTCACTCCATCTAGTAATAATAATAATAATAATAATGTTTTATTTGCTGTAACTTAATAAATAATAATTTGCTGTAGTACTAGCCGGAAGCCGTTCTCGAAAATGATCGCGCCAGGCTCTATTGGGACCGGGCCATCATCACAGACAGGACTATTCTTGCGAATAAGCCTGATATTGTGCTGATGGACCGGGCACAGTCAAGGATATTTTTGGTCGACATTACCATTCCGTATGACGAGAACCTCGTGAAAGCCGAAACCGACAAGCAAACAAAATATCTGGACCTGGCTCACGAGATAACCGACATGTGGGGTGGTCTGCCGACCGAAATTATTCCTGTAGTCGTCTCTGCAAACGGGCTAATCCCAGTCAGCCTCTCGGGTCATCTGAGTTGGCTGGGACTACGTGGCGGACCGCTCCAGGTTCAAATGCAGAAGGCGGTGCTCCTCGATACCGCCCGCATCGTCCGCCGGTTTCTTTCCCTTTCCCCCTAACCCTCGGCCGTTTGGTCTCCCCTGCCGAGGGCCTCCATCTGGTTGGGCTTTTATTTATTTATGTACTTTTATATTTATTTTATGTTATTGATATTTATGTATATTTGTCTTTTCATTTTCATTTATAATTATATATTTATAGCACCCAACCAGATGAGAAAACTATATAGATACCCCTAAATGTTTTATTTGCTGTAACAGTTTAAGTACTTAGAATATATGTGACCAGTGTCTCCTTTTAAGCTTGAATCAGCCTGTGCCAGGGGACACTGCTCTTCCTTAAAATAGGTCATTTCTTACAAGAAAACTTAATAAATAATAATTACGAAACAAAATAAAAATATATAAGTAACAATAATATATGTGGTCTAACAAAAATGACTTAATATACTTATTTATTTACATTTATAAATCAGCCAAAGCAACTTAAGCAACATAAGCCTGAATGCGCGCGCGCGTGTGTGTGTATGTGAGTGAGTGTGTGTGTGTGTGTGTGTGTGTGTGAGTGTGTGTGTGTGTGTGTGTGTGTGCGTGTGTGTGTGTGTGTGTGTGTGTGTGTGTGTGTGTGTGTGTGTGTGTGTTTGTGTGTGTGTGTGTGTGTGAAACTGAGTGGTGTGTTTGTGTGTAAAATTCTAAAATAATATAATGTAATTTAATTATTGCTTCATTACTCTAGAAGAGCCTCAGTGTCATCGTAAGACTTAGGGAGTAGCCATATCTTAAGAAGTCTTCTACATTCAAAAAAGACTTTATCATATATTCCCAATACCTTGTTTGCTGTATTATATAGATGTCCTGACCGTTTGGTATATTGTCTTTTAGCAAAGGCAGTGTTGCTTCGAGGAGCTCGTACAACAATGTCATGTCTTCTCCTATTCTTGATATCAGGATTGTAAGGCAAGGATAAATGTTTTCTTAAAACTGCCTGCATTATGTATAATTTCCTAACAGAAAGAATACCAGTGTTTTGGTAAAGACGCTCGGTCGAGAACCCCAAATTTTGAAAACACATGGTCTTAATTAGTCTTCGCTGGGCCCGCTCTACCTCAATAAAACGGGTTTTGGCAGCACCACCCCAGATAGATATACAATATATCAAGATAGATTGCACCAGCGAGTAATATATTTTAATAATCTAAAATCTAGTGGGGGGTCGCCCTACACAACGCCTACCGGTACGAGGCTGCCACTCGAGAACCTTTCTTCCCCATCGGTTATCGGTTCTTCGAGCTATATGGCCGGCCCATTGCCACTTCAGCTTACTAATCCGTTGGGCTATGTCGGTCACTCTGGTTTTACTGCGGATATCCTCATTTCTGAGCCTATCACGCAGAGAAACTCCGAGCATAGCCCTCTCCATAGCTCGCTGAGCAACCTTGAGCGTCCTCATACGGCCAGCAGTGAAGGACCACGTCTCTGATCCGTAAGTCGTAGACATCGGGTCCGCAGTTTAATGCCTAGATCAGATTTTTCAGCTTAGAATTCGTCCAAACAAGGCGAGCAGGTAGTAAAGTAAAATTTTCAAGGATGACATGTGCTTACTTAATGCAACATGCAATATTTAAAAAAAACTGTAAATAATTTTGTAATGAAATTCCCACTTTTACACATTAACGGCTATAGCTCAGTACGTAATGACATTAAGTACTTGGTATGCCACTGTTTTAGAATCCTCATGATGTAGGCAAATTTTTTAAATGGGTGGCCACACAGATCCTATAAGGTTTTTTTTCACCACAGGTGCTCAAACTTAGCAGTTAAATACAGTAAAAAAATTAAAACTTATGTTTAGTGCCGTCTTGTAAAATACCACCCATAAAAGTCGAAAACTTTTAAGAATAATTTAGTAACATCATATAGAGAACACGTTTAAAAAATCTGATAGGCATTAAACTGCGGACCTGATGTCCACGAATGTGAGGAGACGTACGAATTTTCGGATTTTTCTAAAACATGGCGTAGAGCGCGAATCGTTCGGGATATAATTTTTTTTATGGAACCGAGGCCACCTCCCCCCGCCCAAATACGCACGTACCAGATTACCCACCATTACTGGGATACCCTGTACATTCAAACGTAATCCATTGATATTCCCCTATATCCAGAAAACTTTTAAGTTTGCGCTCCCAGTTTTACATTTAGTGTGTGGAATTCTCCTTCATTTTCTCTGGGTAAATTGATTTCATTAATCCATTTTCTACTTGTAGATTTTGCCATTTAAAGTAAGAACTTTCCAAGAAAAACAAGTCTTCTTCATCCATATTATAGTTTGGCAAACATTGATCACGACAACACTCGGAACGAAGCCGCACTCGACTGCGGACAGTCATGTCGCGCCCGTACCCGCACCCACGCCACGCCCCGCGCCCGTGTTTGAAGACTCGCCAAGCACTAAGTTACTTTTAGATCTTTGAATTGCGGTTTTTGATAATGTTTGATATAATACATTATATAAGTAGCTTGGTTTGATAATTTATTGTCACTCTACAATGCATTTTGTTAAGTTTAAGAATGTTGAGAAAAGGCGTATTATTTATGCGTCATCGTGATAATTTGCTTAAACAACACAATATATTTTTTTTAATATTAGTGAGTAGAGTGTTTAATGGTTTAATGCGTCTGATCGTGGGATTATTTAAAATATAGCAAACGTTGTTGAAACATAATGCATTTTATTTGAAAATATATAAAAATGTTTTTATCGTTTCTTTGTAGCGTTAAATGAAATGTTATATGAATAGATGATGCTCTTTAAAAATAAGGCGTGTGTTGGTAATTTAATGTAACTAAGACTACATTCGGCGCAATTGATTATCAATAAAGTAAGAATAAGCGCAATTTCTATAGGTTATGGGGTAATGATGAAGCTTCGTCAAAATTCGGTGTAACATCGAATCGTTTCCGCAGATGCTAAAGTCTTGCTGAATTGCTACAGTTCGCTTCTGAATGGTATGTAGAGTAGTCCAGTCGCTACAATGAATTTCCAATAAGTGACTTGATAACGGCGACTGCAGTTTTGTATGCTTGCGCATTGGAGTGTTTGGACGTGGTATTGAGCCTCCGAAAAGCAACTAAATCGCGGTCAGTAGATGTTAAAAGTATCAGCAAATAGTGATTTAGTTGGTTTTCGGGTGTGTGGTTTGTGTGTAAAGGTTGATATCGTTTGTGTGCGGGGCAGGCGTGGAGACGCTGACGGACTACCGGTTCAAGTTTGGGCGGTCGGCGCTGCTGGAGGGCGGGCTGGCGGTGAACCCGTCGGGCTGCGCGCGTAGTGAGGCGCGTAGCCGCTGCGCCTGGCGCCGCAACGCGCGTGCGCCGCGCCCGCAGCCGCCAGCCGCTGCGCACGCGCCCGCGCCTCCTCCCGCGCCCGCGCCCGCTGCAGACCACCCTGCATGCCCATACTCTAAGCAGTTCGTGCACCCCAAGAGCTCGCAGTACAAGAAGATGAAGCTCGAGTGGCGCAACAACGTCTATCTCGCCAGGTACGAGCGTCGCAGCTCCCCGCCGCCGCGCGAATGTATGTCAATTAACACTTGTGTTTTTTATGAATAACCAATTTTTAAAATTTCAATTTCGTCAAACCAATTCCAATGAAACTTTACCTACAGAGAGGGCAATACCAGGAAGTGGTCTAAAATATGTTTTATGTGATAAACCTGTGTTTTTGTTTCTTGAAAAAACAAAATATTCGTAAAATAAATAGTCTTTATCTATGCATATTATAAATCTGTAGAAAAGTCGTGTCTGTAATTCCAAAAACAAGTCCAGGGGACTAAGTAAAGGGTACTGAAGCTAAATTAGTGGTTTTAAGAATTTTTGTCTGTCTATCTATGTATTCACGATTCACGCAAAAACTACTGAACCGATTTCCATGAAATTTTGTATGTAGGTAGTTAGTTACCCGTAAAGTAAGAAGGTCAAGTCTTTTCCTTTCTTTAAATAGCATATTTATAAATACAGTTTCAAAGTTAGTTTTAAACTTTGTTTAATAAATTGAAACTACACCGACGATCTATCTACATTTTAGTTTTCAAAACAGCGCCATCTATGATCAAATAGAAAAAGTACATTTTGCGTTCAGTTACTAAGTTAAAATAATGAGAATGATGAAACTTTTCCGACTGGGTCTTGATATTTACATTGTTAGTGTTTCTCACTTGAAACTACTAATAATATAATATAACTAAAAATGCAACCTATTAGGCAGCCTCAAACAAAAAATTACTTTACAAAAATATAAGTATTAACCTCAAAATACAACATTCGAGCAGCGTTCATGCGATAAACTCTCTTTGTTTTACCACTTAGGTAACATTTATTTCTTTTCCTACCCATATTTACATTTATAGTCACTTAAACGCTTATAAAACACTAAATTAACGATTTTCGCTACAGACACATCGACTGTTGTTACCTTACGTCACACGTCGAAGCGCCTGGTAATTTATTACGGCAAACTTTTATCTGGCAATATACGATATTATTATTATTAGGTGTTTTTAATTAAAACGAATTATGTTAATAAATAATATTTTGTATCGAAAATAAAGACAGCAGGCACAAAATTCATAGAGTTTTGGAAGAACAATCATTTTTAAATATCATTTCTTAACATTTTTTTTATTTGTTGGTATATTCATTTATTTTAAAATTTTAAAACTGCGGGCACCTTGTGAAGGAACCGAACAAACCTACAAAAAATGTTTTAACGCTTAGAATTACTTCAGGTCAAAGTTGTAGTGAAGAGAAATGCATTAAATTTCGCCAGTTCTCTTCGTATTCGGCCTTAAATATAACTCTGGCATTTCGTAAAAATCAGCCTAATATTTATAATATTAATAATTCTAAAAAAAATCGAGATCGATTATTTAGAGTAGTAATCATTTACAGTTAGGTTTGAATAATACCAGAGTGAATTAGAAACGGATAATTTTAAACAATAGATATATCAGTTTCTTCGTATTTGTTGTTAATTTTTAGAGGCAAAGTTATAAAATTTATGATTAAAACTAGTTTTCACTACAACTAGTTGAGCTGTCGTTGTTAAGATTAATTATTATTTAATTTTAAATATTGCAGTCTTCCTTTTTTTTGTTTTTTTTTTTGTCAAAAGTGGTAGACTTTTGCCCAATCATCGTATGTGACATGGGCACATGCTTCCTTGAGCAAACCTTCCCTCTTCTTCACCATAAAAGATGGCTTGGTATTGTGTTATGCTATGTAGCCTGTAAAAAAAACTTAAGATATTTTTATTTTATGTGTGTTTAAGTGGAGTTAATATGTTTGCACTTAGAACATTTCAGAAGCGTTTCAGTTAAGAACCAGCCTTCGATTTGCGCCCAAATCAATTCAATAGCATTATATCATCAGTGGTATAGTGGTAATCTTATAACTTTATGCCCGTGCTCTTCTGCTAATTTATCAATAATATATAAAGATTTACGTGGTTTATTTCGCTCTACTAATTGTATTAGCTCAGTTTTCAATAATTTCATGTCCACTTCCACTCCTTTGTGTTGCAGCCATGCTACTAAATCTGCTTTCTTATTCACTTGGGTTGGGGCTTTGTCGATTTAGACAGAATGGTACGGAGCGTTGTCCATTATTATGGTGCTATTCGCAGGAATGTTTTGTAAAAGGGTTAGAAACCACTCTTTGAATTTTTCTGCATCCATTTCCTCATGATATTCTCTTGTATTCTTTGATTAGAAGGTTGATAATAAACAATTTTGTACAAATCCTCCTCCGGCGGATCCCGCATTCACGCACGGCAAATTTTGAGGCGCCCACATTTTCCTACGGGCACCTTCGAGCAAGATGTTGTATTGTCATATGTCGATATTTGCGCCACAGTGTAGTTGGCGTTTAAGGTGAAACCTACGGACTGTTTCCAGCCATTCTCCCGCAAGATGGCGCTGAAGTCAACATTTTTAGTTTATTTGGATTTTTGTGTAATTGGAAAATTATTAAGTCGTAGGAGTAGACTTAGCGGTTATCGGATATCATTGGGTGCGTTTGGCAGAAAAAAGCGCTAGCAAGCGCTTGTAAGCAAAATGGCGATCGTAAGCGGTAAGCGCTGTCAAATCGTAAGTAGCTATTTTCCTCCAGGACACGATGTTAGTTTTAACCGGGGAACCTAACCTAATTTAAATATATGTTTGTAAAGTATACATATTAAAAACTTACCAATCATGAATTTTAATAACATGTATATGTTTATTCATGTCATTATATTACTTAAAACTAATATTGCACAAAATAACTTATAAACTCTACTTCAAAACAAACAAATTAAATAAGCAAAATGGCGGATTGTGTCAGCGCTACTGAAGTAGCAATCGTGTCCTGGCCGAAAACTATTTCAGCGCTTATAAGCGCTTGCTAGCGCTTTTTTCTGCCAAACGCACCCATTGCCTCAAAATCCACCCAATTCGACATTAATTTTGATTATATCATCTGTCATTGAATATAGTGTCGTTTACACGCACAGACGTATCCCTACGTTTACGAAGCTAGAACACTAGATGGCGTGTATGTAAAAAAACAAGTTTTTATTTTTGTGTATGTGCAGATTGGGTAGGCAAAACAACAAAACGCTATGTACGATTGTTATAAAAATAAAATTTATATTTGTTGGCGTAAACTATTTAATTGATTTATAACTTTGGGAAATAAATTATGTCAACATTGATTTTAATATAACGCAATTTTATTTTATTACATTACACTATTGAATTTTTTATCAAAACAGAAGTACCTATTTGAAGCAACATATATACGATACATGCCTATTCACTCAAAACTAATAACACTGATGATTTGTAACAGTACCAATTATTACAATAATTAGACATTTCATAAACAACACGTAAGAAACCATAATTCATAAACAAGAGATAACAACAAATCTATAACACGATTTATTTTGTGATAATAACCAGGAAGGTGAAAATAATATTTTCCTAATTTCGAAGCACTCAACAAAAGCTTTTAGAAAAAAAAAATATAAAGAGCAGTTTATTGAATTGAGCATATGGTCAGGTTATAACCACCTGCTCAATTCAATAATCTGCTCTTTATAATTATGTAGTATGTATGCCTAACGAAGTATTATTTCACCTTTTGATTTTATAGTAAATACAAAATAAAAAGATATATACAATGATAATGTTAAAATTCTAAACAAACTGCTACCAAAATACAATTAGAACAAAAATCATTTTTAAAGATAAAGATAAAGATATTTTATTTTGCAAATATGGGTACAGTACATGGAAGTATAGGTAGTGAGTTCAGCCATATTTTACCAGTAGGCATGCAAAATATACAGAAATATAAACTAATCACCTAAACAGCTATAACAAAATAAAATAATAACACAAAAACAAACATAATTCAAATTTTTAACATTATACAGTCTTAATCTCAAATGAAAATTTTTTTTCAGTCAAGAATTCTGTTACGCTATAGTATGCTTTGACTGTCAAGAAGCTACGAAGCCTTTTTTTAAATATCGATAGCGGCAATTCTTTCCAACTTTTTGGTATTTTATCATATATGACTGGAGCCATGCAGTATATACTTTTGCGCATTAGTGCTGTCTTAGCGGATTGATGACATAAAAGGGTATTGTCGCGTCTATTACGTGGAACTACTTGGTCAAGGCGTTTAAAACGTTTCGGATGAAATTTAACAAACACTGCTACTTCTAGTATGTATAAGCAAGGTAATGTAGTATTTTATATGTTTAAAATATGGTATGCAACTATCGGTAGTTTTGAGCTTAAAATCCTTATGCATCTTTTTGAGCTTAATGATTTTTTGTGTTACCCCAATTATTATCGGAGGTGGGTTCTGCTGTAGCCCGTGTATACTATTGAAGACAAATTATGTAAAGCATATGCGGTTTTACTAATTTTTTTACATAAAGTATTAATGTGTGCTTTCCAGTTACGATGTTTATCTATTTCGAGACCCAGGAACTTTGCAGTTTCAACTTCTTTTGCAACATCATTATTGTAGTGTACATTTAGGCTCATGCTAGGAATCCGTTGACTGAAATGGATAATTTTTGTTTTATTTAAGTTTATTTTTAAATTGTTTTCGTCCAACCAGTTTACAACTAATTTTAAGGAGTTATTAATGTCATTTTCATAGGTCTCTACACTTTTACATGGTATTGTCACTGTGGTATCCGCAAACAGTGTTACTGGTTGCTCAATGCATTTAGGTAAGTCATTGATGTACAATATAAATATAAAAGGACCCAGCACACTCCCCCTATGGTACACCAAATTTAACTTCGCGCTTTGACGATCGAAATATCTCTTCCTTCTTATTTGCTATATTAATTTGATTAATTTCAGTTATTTGTATTCTATTCTTTAAGTAAGATTCAATTAGATTAAGAACATTGCCTCTAATGCTTCAAGTTTTTCTAAAAGAGTAGCGTAATTTGCATAATGAAATGCCTTTGTCATGTCGCAAAATATGCTACAGACATGTCTACGTTTATCGATATTGTTAATAATATTGTATATAAAGTCATATATGGCCATATTGATTGTCCTATGTGGTCTAAATCCTTTTTGTTCCTCACATAAAATGTTATATTTTTCAATAAATTTATATGACTTGTTGATTTCACCCTCTGCCTTGAAACTTCCTGTCTTGAAACCACTGCTACACTGCTGCTGCAAAGAAAACTTACTTAGTATATTTGTTACTTTTTGACGAATATTCAATGGCAAACCATTCATTTCAAAATTTGTATTACCTTCAATCTCCAAAGCTGCTCTAAAATAAAATTTTACTTCTATTCTTTGCATGAACTTCCAAATAATGTTGATGTTGCAGGAGGATTTTTCACTGGAATAACAATATAATTTTATTTTATCAATTTCGATATCTAAATATAACATAATTTATCTCATGTATAAGAGGCCTGTGTCCCAGCAGTGGGAATATATTGATGCAATTTATGAAGTGAATAAAAAAGTAAAAGCGTAGTGTACATACCATTCAAATCTATACATTTCGCATTTTTTTTGAACACGTCTCAATATTATTTCAGGTAGAATACAGTTTTTAAAAAAGTCTGATAATTTTGGTATCATATTACTGATAAATTCATTATCTCGACAAACTTCTATAACAGTCAAAGACTTAGTGACTGAAATGAAACATATGAAGTAGCACTTATCCATTTTGCTAACACGCATTTGTCCTTGGACGTGAAATAAAATTTGATAATGGTAAGAGTAAACAAGATACTGAAATAAAGTAAAATGTGGACATGCAATAGATAATAATCATGCTTTTTATTCATGACTAAAACATTATTATCCAGTTTTAGAGCAAAGTTCTTCTTTTCTAGTGCAGCTGCCTAGACTTTGATTTGTTCTGGCCAATGATGGAAAGCACTTGATTTCAACAACAGCTCTCTCATTTTCAATTGTACCTGTAACAAATAAAACGCCGAGATGGAGCTCTTCATGAAATTGGATATAAGAAATTCAAAGCTAAAAATCCAAATTCTTCATCAATAAAAAGTTCTGAAGGCCTCACAATTTTATTATATTGTTGCATGAACATACTTTTTGCTACATTTTCATATTGCTGCCCATATAACATGTCTTTTGTGCAAACATTCTTTTTATACAGAATATCCTTTACATGATTGTGACATGGGTGGTGATACGGCGTTTGCAAACCTGTAAAGAGAAAAAGTTCAGATAAACTAAATGTATGTTATGGTTTACTTTTAAAATTTTAATTTTCTATAAATATATTCCATAGTAAAGTACCGCATTTTTACCAGAAAGGTATGTTTATAAGTATACATATCTGCTAACATCATTATCACACCACACAACTCACCATTTCAAAATGACTAGCAGTCAAACGGTCACTCCTATGAGTAGTAGTATATAAATCATTTTCATGCTGTCCTACAGTGGACGTTTCAATCAAAGCAAAGTTTTCTGGTGACTTTTGGAATTCTGTCAACTGTGCTTCGTTAATATCAATAGGATCACAAGCTTCAGGTCCATAGTGCTTATCCGGTTGGGTTTTCTCTCTTGGAGCAAATAATCGTTTGCGTGTCGAAGATTGCAGTCGTATTCTGCTTTGTTCCTTCTGCTTTATATATTTTTTAAAATGTATCCCTGGGCTCTGTGTGGTCTGCTTTTTCCATGCAGTTTCATGCCATTTGTGTCCATTAGCAAGCGATAGGCCTGAAAACATTTTTATTTATTTATTTATTGAAACTAACAACTATCATGACAGGAATAACCTAATGCGACAGTGTAGTTCTTTTTATGCATAACAAAAATGTAGAAATTAACTGTAACAAATTGTAAACAATCCCACCCTAGTAAATTCACTCACACAATTTTAATTTTAAAGAATTTCTTACTGGATCTAATAATTTCTGACTGACTATTACTGTATATTTACCGGCCACATGAATACGTCGCTGGTAAGAACCCCCTTTTCCAAAACTAATTCGTTTTCCACAGTTGAATTTGTTTATCACACTCATGAAGTTTTCTGCCACATTTGTCGTCTCATTAGACAAACGACCTGCTTCAAAGCAATTTTTTCATTGGCTGCATAAATCAGAGCCCACACCTCTGGAGCATTATTTTTCAGACTTTCTACGAGATTTTCTTCCTTCCTTTCACTTCCATCTGTCAATGTTTTATTGATATTGCAGTAATAATCCTTGCAGTTTTCATGTACTCCGAATACATGAAGCGGGCCATTTCTCAAATCTGCTGCCATAGCAGTATGCGCACTGCTATGCATGATAATTTTCCGTGCTACTAGTGTAAGCTTCATCACCTTCGGCTTCAAAATATTTCGCCCAGAAAGAGGGAGCTTAGTGTTGGCCAAGATCTAAAAAGTACAAAATATAAATACAGAATAATATGCTTCACTGATCTTGAGATGTCTTTAGAAATTTAATTTATTCATTTACCTTGTAGAGTGCACTAGTATAGTTTTTGATTACATGATTCTTGCATTAAATTTTTTTTATTATGTTCCCATATGACACTTTCTCTTTCAATTTTGCAAACACAGAGGGGTCTTCGTCACCAATAAAATTCAAATAGCGAAATTGATGTATTTCTTCACTCTTTTGAAAGCCTTCTACAACAATATCTGATTCCATTGCTGTAGATGGTCCAGTAATTTTTTTGCAGCAATTATGTGCTTTCATATCCAAGTTTCTTCTCTCATAATATTGACATGTATAACAATATTTATTTCTAAACCAAGAAATAGACTTCTTTACCAATAATGCAGGCCTGGAAATGAAAAGCAACACTTGTAAATATTGCACAAAATATAAAATGCCATAAAGAACCAAATTTGTTTTGAGTAAATTATTAACTTACCATACCAGATGATGAATCATAGTTATGTCCATATGACCTTTTCAACCATCCTCCATCTACATATAGAGTAACAAATGGAACTCCATCTGAAGACACATGCCCTTTTTTAATTGCAATTGATCTTTCTTGTTCACCAGCAATTTTAATTTCCTCTGTCAAATGTTCGAACCACACACTGCCTAATTTTTTTTCAATACGACGAAATTTATTAGCTGACATTGTTGGAATATCCATAAGACTTGTTATGTCAGCTGCTTGAGTGTAGAAGCTACCAGAAGTGACAGTTGTCCACACACATGCAGTATTTATTTTATCACTGCTCTCCGTAAAATGCCTCCATGCTTTATCACACATATTGCACTTGAAAATTAATTCACTTCGAAATCCATCAAGTCTTTCACCAACAAAATCAATTTGTGAAGATTCACACATATTTCGATGTCTTTCCATAAGCATTGCCCACTGTATTACATGCTTCAAGTCCACAATGCGATACCCAGATATCTCAGATAAACATTTATTTGGAACAGCTTCCACAATCAATTGAAATGAATCAATTTCAGGATCAGCTTGCGGCCAATTAATCTCTAAAGGTTCAACCACAGGTTCAGCTGTCACTGTGCTAGTACTAGGAGCACTGTAGGTGGCCTCTAATCGGGTTTTCGGTTTTACACGCGCATATGTTCTTGGTTGTGTATTCTGAGTACTGAAAGAAACAAATCAAATTGTGATGACCATATAATAAAAGTATATAACCTATATCCTAGACCTATTTTCCCCTTTCTGAATATATCGCGGGTTTTTTTACGTCATCTTATGGTTTTCGACCAAAGCAACAATTTCTTAGGTGCGTACGTACATGTAGTGTTCCTTTTACGAACAATAATAAATCATGCTTATTTGATACGTACATTACAGAGTTATCTATGACGATTTCTTCATTCAATGGCTTCTTCTTCGTTTCTTCAGAACGCCAAGCTTTCAAACGGCTGTAATAAAATATAAGCGTGAAACTTTTGTCTATAGAAAATGTAGGCAAGTAGGTAGGTAGGTACGATAAGAAAAGTGTGATCGTGAAATAGCGCGAAATCCCTACATCCAAACTCTCCGCTAGGAGTAATAGTGTTCTGTGATCCAAACTTGGCCGTGTTTACTAAGAAGCCGGATACAGAGTTACTGTATTGATGTTACTCTCTGTATCATGAAATCGTTTTAGTGCAGATCGTACTTGTTTCAATGATTTGCGCTTCCCCGAATATGCGTGTCGTTTTTTACGACGCCTTGCTTGTTTGAGCAGACATTGTAGACGCAATCTAAATCTGAAATATAGAAAAACGAACAGTAGAGAACAGTATAGAAAAAAAGTATTTGAATAAAATATATCGCATCCGCAAGTGGTGCAGAGTGTCGACTGGAAGATAGTCCAGATCGTAGACAAATCTTCCTTCAATTCTATATGAATGTGATCGTGGTAGCGTTCGGAACACAAGATCCAGAACACTAAAATGTACAAAATTTTACTTATCTTTTTATTTCAATGTTATCTTTATATTCCTGGTAGAATTGGCCGACGAATAAGAAAAATATAACACAGATTATAAGCTATTTATTTATAAACAATAAAGCACGGAACAGAAAAAAGGATTTTATGTAACTGAATTATATTTGTTTCTGAACGCATCATAAGGTGTGACGTAGTGACGAGTGAACTTGAGCTCTACAAAATATAACAAACTAATAATGTGTGTCTGTCTGAAAGTGTTTGCAAAATGCGTAAAGGGTGTTTAATGTGAACCCGGCAAAACCTAATTTATCAAATGTTTGCAAGTTTAATTTTGTGACTGCTTTGGTCGTTTACCGATTTATAATAATTGTATTTATTGTTGACCAAAAACATATTCAAACACATTCATATATGAAACACTGACACGTATGACGTAGGTAATCAGTATTGTGACGATATTTCAGAAAAATCACGGGCCAGCCTGCTGTTAATAATACTATCGAAAACATAATTGCGTTTTTAAAATAATTACTATACCTACGATAAATTACAATATAGTCTCAAATATATACTAGAGAAATATTGCAATTCGAATCAATGAAAACATACATACAAAATATGTATAATACACAAGAAATTCCGCGCGCAAATCATAGCGCGTGACAACCGAAATCAGAATATATATTTTATACAAGTCAAACAAGTGAACGTACGTAAGTTTGGCAACGCTTTTGTTTCGTCAATTCAAGGTCAGGAATACGTTAGTACCGTAGACTTCTCTATCTACGGCAGTTTGTTGTCAGAAAGGACGGCAACGTCGCTTTACCTACGACTTTTGGTATGCCACACAACGATAATAAGTAATAAAATTGTTTACAAAAAAACATAGGTGTCTAAGGTCATTAGTTTTATGTTATTTTATACGGTTTTTTAACGGTTGGAAAGGAAATTAACCAATTATTGAACTTAAGATATTGATTTATCAGAATTATTTAAGATCACTTGGATGCCATCTAGCGTGCCGCCAATGTTTAAACGTCGCCTTTCGTTTGCTTGTCAAAAGTCACGCACACTACTAAAGAAGTGTCAAATTTTTCCGGGATTTCACTATTGTTTTTCTCAGTATATAATGTAAGTTATTGCCTATAAAGGTCAGACGCGTACACATTTCATTGTAGAGAAGTGATAAAATGATTAGTTTTAAAGAAAGAGTGTCTGTGTTTAGTGAAGATTTTGGTTAAAAAATGTATGGACGGACGGTCGAAGCATCCACCTTAAGATCACTTGGATGCGATCTAGCGTGCCAATGTTTAAACGTCGCCTTTCGTTTGCTTGTCAAAAGTCACGCACACTACTAAAGAAGTGTCAAATTTTTCCGGGATTTCACTATTGTTTTTCTCAGTATATAATGTAAGTTATTGCCTATAAAGGTCAGACGCGTACACATTTCATTGTAGACAAGTGATAAAATGATTAGTTTTAAAGAAAGAGTGTCTGTGTTTAGTGTATATTTTTGTTAAAAAATGTATGGGCGGACGGTCGACGCATCCACCTTAAGGGGATATAGTAAGTCAGCTCAAATTCTAATTTCGTCCCCACTTCCCTGCGCGTCGTATGCTATGTACCGACATGTTTGTAATCACTAATACTGTAAGTAGATAGGTCGTTAGACACTTATTTCATTAGGTTTATCATATTTATGCCTGTTTCTTAACGCCAAGCCAGTCGCTTCTTATTTTTATCACGGTTATTTCCCATTTTAATTTTACGTCGTCCTGTTGCGTAATATGTATTCTGATCGTAAGCGACACAACCTCCTCTTTCAAAGGCCGAAGCGAAGTGACCGGCCGGCAGGAATCACGCTTCAAGAGGTCGATAGTTTAGGTAATTTCTTTTTACAGTGAAAATAATGGTATTTAAAAAAAAAGTAAATAACATAAGCACTGCTTTATAGTTAGTTCAGTTAGTATGCAATGTTTCATGATCTTATTTAAAGTATTTTATGAATAACAGCGGTTTATTGTTTATTTTGGAGGTAACTTTGGATTTTTTTTTCTATCGAGAAAATTTTACGAAATCGTGTTTTCGTCTAACATAATCCTTAACATTAATCCTCAACTTTACCATATATTTATTTCAAAATTAATACTGCAATATTTTCGGCATAACGAAGGAACTTGCTAAGCCGTTTGAGATTATATTTCCCCTTAACCACGTTTGATCAAAAATATGACGTCCAATTGGTTATATTTTTACATTTCTCTTAAAAATGTTATTCTTTGCAAGACTATGTCATGCCTCTCCATAATTATTTTGCGTTTATCACTTTTTTTATCGAAAGCCTATGCGTTTCAAAATGACTACACTAGCATTGTACAAATCAGCTTCTACTATACTTATTTGCAACTTCGCCGCAATATATTCACCCCTTGTGAAATAGCCGTAGGCATATTTTCTAATTGCATCTGCGTCGAATTGATAGATACCTTTTACTGCTTTGTTATTTTTTCGTTTTTTCGGCGTGTGAAATAAATTATTCTCATTGCTTGAAGGCCCGTACTTTTCAGTGACTATCTTTGAAACGATGCTTTTGCCAATTCCGAGAGCTTCACACTTGTGTCACTGGTAAAAGGGGCCCACCGTTTTGTGACTCACGTTCAAAATATTCGTGTAATTTCACCACCAATGCACGAGCTTGACTGTTTAAAATATTGCTACCACAACTACGTCCTTTTGGACATTATGATCGCTTGCTTAATCAGAGTCCAGTATATAACTTGCCAAGGTCAACTAATATAGAAGAAACAGTCCAAAAAGTTAAGGCCGAGTCAGAAAATAAGAAGACAAACACAAAATCGCAAAATTACGCACAGTAAGCTCCCGAAATGGCAGGAGATAGAAATTATGTAGTGGATTTTACAGCGCGACCATGGTTATGAGTTTTTTTTTGCCTACACAAATTTACGTTGACAAAGTAAAAAAATAAATAAACTTATTTTATAAAACAAAATATACACAAAAAAAAATTTACCGATTATTCGCATAACAATGAATTTTAATCACCCAAACACCACGGTAAGGTACATAGCGACATATCATTGAAACGACGTCAAGCAAAAAAGTTGGTTATTTTTAAATATTTTGCTTCGTTTGAAATATTCGAATTTAAATTAGTGATAAAAACTATACACGTTGTAATGAAATATAGACGAATCCGAAGAATTATGAAGTTCATAATTCTTCGAATTTACGTAAAACAATTATTTTAAATCGTTTGAGTACGCTTGTGCAGTTATTGTGGAATTATTAATCTAAAACGTCAAAAGGTATTTTTCTTAGATTTGGTTGACTATAGGTATAAATTACGCCGGCCGTGATCTATATTGTGTCCCTACTGGTTATAATTATAATGTTTCCCCTTCCAGTGGTGGGGAAATCGTCTACTGATTTTTAAATATGTAAAAACCTCTGCAGATGTACAAAAATTACTATAACCTTAATTAAATTACTTTCTTCGAATCATCTAGTGGATTATTTTTTATGTTACTATAGTTTATAGAATCAAAACACAATGAACAAATAGTCACATAATAAATAAATATTTTATAATGCGAAGCTTACAGTTGCTGTCGAATTGAAAGCCGTTGTTACTACGTTTTTCGGGCTTTTGATCGTAAATTCGCTTCAGAAGCCCTGGGATTAAGTAAAAATAAATTGCGCATTCTGGCAAGAGCCCTAACTGGACACTGTTGTCTTAAAAAGCACATGTCCATCTAACTCTAAGCAACTCAAGGATGTGTCGGTTCTGTTCCATAACGGAAGAAACGCCTCTACACATCCTAACTGATTGCGGAGCCTTAATGCGCAAACGTAACACTCATCTGGGAAACTATCTACTCCGCCCAGAAGAAGTGAAATTGCTCACGGCTAAGCAACTCCTTCGATTCATTGAAAACATAAGGCTTAACAGTGAACTATAGCCATAGCAGCGATCACAATAGACCTTTTAGGTCGCAGTGATACTGGTATCTTTACCCAGACCTGCATAGCTGCTCGCATATAATAAAAAAATATATAAATAATACTACGTTTTTATCGTTTCGCTTTCTTCTCTGTTTGTATGTTTGGTACGAATTTTGATATCGATTTTAAACCAACTTCCTGATGCTCGAAAAACGTTAAACTTTAAACATAGCCCAGATTTGAAAACATCGTAAAAATGATTGTCATTATGAATTATAACTATACATAAGTCTGTTTAAAATGATAAAACCAAATTAAAACAATTGTAAAATTTATTATTTCACTACAAAATATTACTAAATATTTATTTATTTATTACAGGTCTAAAATTCAAGGATTAGGCTTGTACGCGGCACGTGATTTAGAGAAACATACAATGGTCATAGAATATATCGGCGAAATTATTCGCTCAGAATTGTCTGAAATACGTGAGAAGAAATATGAAGCCAAGGTAAGGAAAGCATTGCGTCAGTATAGCTTTTACACATTATTCGAGCTTACACTTCTGTCATAAACTTATTACTCCTACGTGACTTGTGTATTGGTTTCTAAGAAGGATGTGAGAATAAAATTTATTATATTCCCACAATGATTGTGGCTCTGTTGAAAAGTGGCTATTTTATTTTTCTCTCTTTCTACTACTTCAGATATGATTTATCATCATCATCATCATCATCATTACAACCCTTCACAAGTCCACTGCTGAATATAAGCCTCCCCCAAGGATTGCCACAAAGCTCGGTCCTGAGCCACCTGCATCCATCGACTTCCTGCATGTATTACCTGGTCGTCACTCCATTACAACTCTGTCTCAACAATCGAATGTAACTAACTGTATTGTTTCATGTCAAAAAGGACTAGTTGTACGACCTACTTTTTATTTAGTTTTGACGATAAATTAATTAAAACTGATTTTACTAAGCAAATTGTTTCTATAATAAATTTTATTGTGGTTTTTGTCACTTGTTGAAAGTTAAAACGCTCATCATAATTTATTAGTAACAAATACTATGTAAATAATAAACACTATGTATAGTACGTTTCTAAAGTAGGCGGAAAAAAGTACATTTGACCTTTGACGATATCATCGGGGTTGGCAATTTTTTTTTGTTTAGGTTTATTTTTTATCCTTTTACCATTACATACACCATCAGAGTGAAAGATAACGGTGCCGAGTGCGAAGTTCTTTACAGGCACTAAGTCTTTTGTTATATAATAAATAAAGAAAATTAGCCTGTACCTAAATGAATTAAAAACAAATTAATATTAATTTAAGTTTATTATTTATAAATCATGAGTTATTACAATTTTCATTATTACGTTAATAGTAGGTAAGTACTTTAATAAGTAGGTAGGTAGGTAGTTGTATAAAACATAACCACTTCTTGGCAGTCAGGTAAAAAGACGAACTTTTAATCCTAAGCATTCCTAAGCAGCCAACCTTGAAGCATGCATAAAACTTCTCATAATAGATTGTCAGACACTTGACAGACTATTCATCTCTATCTATTTCAGAATCATTTTATGGTGATGAAGACGTAGAAGAGTCCGTCACATTGATTATAACCTAAAATATCGGCAGTCTTCTTTTTCATATCCGTTTTGGATGATGTATAGATTCTTTTACATATTTATAGATGTTTACAATCATTATTTTTTTCGGTTTCCGAAATATGCGACACTTTCCGCTTCTTTCGTGGTGACGTAAAGTCTTTATGAGATTTTAATGTCGATGGACCCGATTTCATACTAGTGATAGTATACATGTGATAAAACGTCACAAAACAATAACAAAAGCTTTAATACAAAACGTAATAATACAACTAACAAAACAAACTCAATAAAAATTAAAACAACAACTATAACCCAAAATTTTAAATCTCAAACTATCTACACGCAAGCGCATCCCAAAGCAGAATGAGGAATGAGTTCTGCTCCATCCGCTTTCTCAAATACGCTCAGCGTGAGACCTATCGCAAATTGCGTCATAACAGGTTTATTACCTCTGAATGACCGCTTCCTTCACCCTACCCCGTACCATGAGACACGCTTAGCGCATAACGATACGTAATCTATAAAGAAATGTATGGAAGCAATAACTGTCGTTTTGTTTCGATGCTAACATAATACTTGATGTCAATATACTTTTTTCCGCCTGCCCTAGAAACGTACTATAGGGTTATTTATGGAACTGTTCTATATCTAGATAATGATTTGTTAGACGAAACCGGATGCTTGAAATAATTTAAAGAAGTAAATACAATTGAAGTGTCTGTTTATAATGTCAAAATAACAGCTTTCACTAAATGCATGTGAAAGTATATAGTGTACTTTATTACAACATAAAACAATTTTTTAAATTTTTATTTATCTGTTTATTACGGTTTATCTCCGAAGTGGCTGGACTGATTCTGACGGGATTTTGACAGGCAGGTAGCTGATGTAATAGGGAATAACTTTTGCTACTTTTATTTTAGAAGAAGAATTAGGTTTCCGTGCAATAAAAGTTAAACCTATGAAATCCAATCGTTGCATTAACGTGATGTACTTGCGTGTGTGTGGTGGCGGCGGGCAGAACCACGGCATCTACATGTTCCGGCTGGACGAGCGGCGCGTGGTGGACGCCACGCTGAGCGGCGGGCTGGCGCGCTACATCAACCACTCGTGCCAGCCCAACTGCGTGGCCGAGACCGTCGAGGTGGACCGCCAGCTGCGCATCATCATCTTCGCCAAGCGCCGCATCGCACGCGGCGAGGAGGTGCGCGCACACACACGCACACACGCGCACACACGCACGCACACATTTATCCTACTTGTCATACTCCCTTAACCTTTTCACCTTTTTATATGTAATACATTTATTTTGCATTTATATTCAACTAAACTTTTGCCAAATGCAGTCTTTCTTTCATCCTAGTGATATTATCGCAATACCTATTAAAATAATCACCGAATAATTTATAAAATAGTGACAGCAGCTAAAACATTGCTGTGAGTTTCACTGATTCATGTGTGTGAGATTAGAAATAGAAGTCCATCAGACATTAAAATTATGAAATACATCATATTATTTTATATTATATAGGATTTCTCATATTTCTCATCTCAGATATGTTTTCTATGATTTATTTTATGCCATCTCTAATCTTGGTAATAATTGCCTTTTCTGCCAAATTTCCACTATTTAGAACCAATATGTTATATATAAGTACAATAAAATTAAAAAAGTTTGATTTTTACTATAGTCAACCAAATCTAAGAAATACCTTTTGACGTTTCACATTAATCATTCCGCAATAACTTTGCACAAGCGTACTCACACGATTTAAAATAATCATTCACGTAAATTGAATAAAACTAAATTTACGGATTTTATCGCGTTTATTTCACTACTTTTACTTATTTTTAATTCCCGACGTTTCGGGTGCTTTACAGCAACCATGGTCACGGGGGGGACTGAGATGTTTGACGTCCCAATGTCATTGTTAGCCCGGCTACCTTCAGTCTTTGAATATTAATTTTTGATCCGATTTACGCAAAACGAACTTACAGTATCTTGAAGTCTTGCAGTGGTATGCTTGGGTTTGGGTTTAATTGTGTTAATTATAGGATCCCAAGCAGATGGCAGCACCCAACCATCTTCTCAATTGAAATTAGGATGTTTTTTAATTTCAATAGCCTCGCGTATCATCCTTGGTAGGAATCGGTGTTCTTTTGCGAGGACTTGTGGTTTATCAAATCTGATATAATGGTGGGGACGATCTTGAACATGTTCACAGACTGCAGACTTTCCGGAGCGTCGGTGCTTCACGTCAGCTATATGTTTTTCACGCGGGTTTTTATGGATCCTTAAAAACCCGGCCGGCATGAAACCGGCCACAGTCGATCGTGTACCTGCTGTACTACCATATGTCAGAGGAATCACAGACAAGGTTGGCTACATCTTGAAGCGAGCTTCCATTAAAACATACTACAAACCGCCGAAGAAGATTAGTCAATTTTTACCAACCGTCAAGTGTAATATCCCTCTACAGGATGCAGGAGTTTACAAGTTAGATTGTGAATGTGGTCTCTCTTATATAGGTCAAACAAAAAGATCCATAAAAACCCGCGTGAAGGAACATATAGCTTACGTGAAGCACCGACGCTCCGGGAAGTCTGCAGTCTGTGAACATGTTCAAAATCGTCCCCACCATTACATCAGATTTGATAAACCACAAGTCCTCGCAAAAGAACACCGATTCCCACCAAGGATGATACGCGAGGCTATTGAAATTAAAAAACATCCTAATTTCAATAGAGAAGATGGTTGGGTGCTGCCATCTGCTTGGGATCCTATAATTAACAAAATTAAACCCAAACCCAAGCATACCACTGCAAGACTTCAAGATACTGTAAGTTCGTTTTGCGTAAATCGGATCAAAAATTAATATTCAAAGACTGAAGGTAGCCGGGCTAACAATGACATTGGGACGTCAAATATCTCAGTCCCCCCCGTGACCATGGTTGCTGTAATGCACCCGAAACCTTGGGAATTAAAAATAAGTAAAAGTAGTGAAATAAACGCGATAAAATCCGTAATTTTAGTTTTATTCAATGTGTAGTGTTCGCGTAAATTTAAGAAATCATTACATTTACGTAAATCCGAAGAATTATAAAGTTATCTGTATTTCATTATAATCTATATAGTTTTAACACCAATTTAAATTCGAATCTTTCAAACAAAGCAAAATATCAAATAAATTACCAGTATCAACTTTTTTACTTGACGTCGTTTCAATGATATGTCGCTATGCACCTTACCGTAGTGTTTGGATGATTATTCATTGTTATGCGAATAATCGGCAAAAATATTCAAATAATCTGTAAAAATATGAAAATAATTGAATCATTAATCTATTTAATGTATTATTTGTTTAATTAAATTTTTATTTTTAAAATTCCTTAAATTACGTGAATCATGAATAAAACAAGTTTATTTTCTTTACGTTGTCAACGTAAATTTGTGTAGGCAAAAAACTCATATACGAGGCCGCGCTGAAAAAACCACAATTTCAATCTCCCGCCATTTCGGGAGCTTGCTGTGCGTAATTTTGTGATTTTTTGCTTGTCTTCTTATTTTGTGACTCGGCTTTAAGTTTTTGGACTGTTTCTTCTATATACGTTGAAGCATGTATACATGTCACAAAGGATGATTGGGAAAAAGTTGTAGAAAAACCAAAAACATAGATTGATTATGGATGACTTTGAAGGAGACATTTTTCTATGTGGTAGAGCCATGCTGCAGTTGTATTAGTAGTATAGTTGTAGCACGAATGGGTCGGCTCGACCGGGGAAGGACCACGCTCTCACAGAATACCAGCGTGAAATAGCAGCTTAATGCTGCTGTGTTTCGTATGGTGAGTGTAGAGAACCGGAGACCCTTTTTACTGGAAACGAGGCATTCCATCTTAGTCCTCACGGGTGACAACGCATCTGCATTTTGAATCACATACGAGGATAGATGTCGATGTCTATGGGCCGCAGCAACCACATACCATCAGGTGGACTGTGTACTCATTTGTCACCTTATCCTGTAAGAGACATTAATTTTGACTGCATTATTGCAGATCAAATAATAATTAATCTAAACAACGATAGCTCAACTCTGTACTGAAAGTGATTGAATAAATTTATTTTTAATCTAATTTCAGTATTAAATTTTTGTAACTTTGCCTCAAGAAATCAGCAGTAACAACAAATACGAAGAAACTGATAAATTTTGTATTTTAAATTATCCGTTTCTAATTTACTCTGGTATTATTCAAACCAAACTAAATGATTACCAACTCTAAATAATCGATATCGATTTTTTTAAGAATCGAATATTGTACGTTCCCGTTTTTTGGTTGGCATGCTTGGTGCAATAAGTCTGACAGCTGTCAAAATGTATTGCTTAAATTTGGTTGACTATAACCCCATTTATCATACTCATATTACTTACTTCGATGTTTTTAGTGATAAGTAGCTTATGATATTCCCTGACCACAATCGCTTTTCTCTCGCACCTCAGATCGTAGATCATTGAATGAGCAATTCATATTTTAATTTAAAAAAAGACTTGCTTGTATAAATTTATATTTACGAATCTAAACCTTTTTTGATAAATTAGTAGCAGTAATAAATATGTGTGTTGTGCAAGAATCGTATAAATATTTATGGTTTGCATGAACTTGATGGCAATTAAAATCAGTAAATCTCTTTGCAAAGAATGGCCTTTTCTATACAAATTCCGCAAATACTTGTGAATCAGTGTTTTTAGTCTGTAGTCTTGGTCCCTTTTACAATAGTCCCGTAAATTCTAATGTTTATTTATTTATTTAAGTACACCAACGATTGTTACAACAATGCAGAAATAGTAAACACACATCACTTATATACTAATTGTACAATCAATTAAAGGTATACACCACATGCTTCAAGATACTAAGAAGCTACCAAGTAAAAAACAAAAAAAAAAATACAAAAACTTAGAATATAACAAAATATTATGAAGCTATATGAAACAATGACTTACACATGTTACTTAAATAATGTATTGTTTACTGTGGCCTTAAACTCAGCTAGAGACATAACATCTATTGACCCTCCGCACTTATTATATAGTTGGGAAATTCTGGAAACCGGTGAATTGGCTCCCAAAACTGTTTTGCGAAATGGACGAGAGAGAGGTTCGATGGGCTTACGAGGCATTCGTGACGGAACTTTAAAATTAAATTTTATCAGGAGTACAGGACAATGCAACTGATATCTTATTATCTTGAAAAAGAAGGTTAGGTCAAGTATATCCCTGCGGTTGTCCAAGCTATGCATCTTTAGGAACTCTAGTAGGTCCTTGTAGGGGCTAAATCTTTTATGCCAGAAGTGTGAGAACACCAAGTGTTTTACTAATCGTTTTTGAGTGCGTTCAATACGAAGTGTGTGAGTAGCATAATGTGGACGCCAGACCACACTTCCATACTCAAGGATCGATCTAACCAAGCTATTGTATAGCGCAATTTTTGAGGAATGGCGTTTGAATACTTTAGCGTTTCTGATAATAACACCCAACATCTTGGACGCCCTGCCTACGATGTAGTCAATATGTGGGACAAATGTCATTTTATTATCCAAGAGCACATCCAATAAACGTATAAACGTATTAGTTAATGTTAACTAATTTGCTCACTCTTTACATAAAAACATAATTTTACTTACTCCTGTACGTAGATTTTTGAACGTTTTTGTAAAAGTGGTTATGCCTGTACATGACTCAAGAGTCCGGTTTATACACCGATTATGATTATTTTTATATACTTTTATTTCTGTTTATTGCATAATATAAAATACTTTTGGTTTGTGCAGTTGGCTTACGACTACAAGTTCGACATAGAAGACGACGCGCACAAGATAATGTGCATGTGCGGAGCTCCCAACTGTCGCAAGTGGATGAACTAAACGCACTCCTTGGACACGCGTGTACAGTCCTGGACTTGGTCTCCAGTCTTTCACTAATTAGTGAGCACAGTAACCTAGCGAGCTCTTAGTAAAGGCTATGAACTTAGTTTTATGTACCAAAGTGATTTTACACTGTGTAATATAGACCAATATTTTAACATAATATTATGGATTCACTTTTATAAGCTGACGTGTGATCTTACATTATCAATAAGACAATATCTACAGAGTTTTACAGATATTTTTTTTCGTTTTACTGTAATTTTGTAACTCACTAGATCGAATATAAAAAAGAATAATCAAACATTTTGTATATAATGTTAAGTGATAAATCATTGTTGTTACATTTTGACATTTTAGATATGAAACTTCTCCGAATGTATGTAGGTTAGTTTTTAATACATTTTTGCAGGTATTCCATAGATATTCTAGAAGGCATATGATTACTATTGACATTTTTAAATTCATCATGAAGATATTTATTTATTACTGATATAAATGATTTTCGTGTAATCGAAAAAAACACTAAATTAGAAATAGCTCCTAAGAGATGTATTTTATTGCTTTTACCTAATGATTGTTGTTACTAGTTTACTTCGTTTCGATAATCTCAGTGGTGAGTAATTAGGTTAAGTTACAAAATGAACGAGTCTGCATTTAGTACACGTAGCACGATATAGTTGTTTAGAGACGTAACGTAATGCCACATTGTGCCTGACCCGTTTTGTATGTCTATATTCGTAACGTCGTAGGTTAGTACCGCATAACACCACACGGCGCCTTCGGTCGACTAATTGTATACTAGCTTTTACGTACTTTAGTGGGCCGCGCACGAATTCATGCCGTGCACGTACAGAATTGTATGTTATCATTGTGGTGAATATTATTTTAAATAAGTGTGAGCAGATTATAATGGCCATATTTATTTTCATATCTTTTTAGAAGACACTATATGTGTATAACGATGATATTCAAAATGCATTGCTGTACAGGTGTTCATTAATTATCTTAATATTTCAGTGTTGCCTTCGTTATACCATTCTTACAGATCTCAAATTTTAACGAAATGTTGTTGATTACTCCAAACTCTTATTTTAGTGCTTGAGCATAAGTAGCGTAAATATATGAGTAGTGTTGCTTCAGTTCCATCTCAAAAAATTAAGTATGTCATACAATTGATTGAATAGTGGGCTTTAAAGAAGCATTGAATTTAGAAATAGGGATCCGAGGTCTGCAATACGGGATGCTAATTTGTTGTGACTGTGTTATCAGCAAGCCAAACACGCGAATAGCCCGTTTGAATTCGTGCGTGTGTGTAGGTAGTATAATTTTTATAATATTGTATGTAGTGTCGTGTGATACCTTACATGTTGGTGTATGCGTGATTAGTGGCATAGTGGCCGATATTGGCAGTTGGTGGAGTTGTACCAGGCGCGTAGTATGTGTTTAGGAGACGGTGAACGGTAGTTGTATAATACATGCAATTATATTAGAGTTGAGGGGTCCTGCGCTGTTTCATCATTACTACTTTTGTAGGTAATTTTACGTACATAAACATTCGAAGGATTATTATAACGATTCGAAACCACAATGAAGTTTAATACTTAACATGTGTTTAATGTTCATTTTGCAATGTACGCACTAAACGCAGTGTCCCGGGTGGTTCAGTGAAGAAGCATATAAACATATTCTATTATCATTAAAGTTCAACTTTTTATATCCGACTGGTGTTGTAATTTTGCTTCGATATTTTTGTTAATCAAGTAGTGAATTTCGTTGGATTCAATTTAAATTAAATTGAATTTTATTAAAAGAATGATAAGATAATCAAAATACAGTTTCTGTAACCGCACGTAGATAGGTAATGACATAGTAAATTCCTTTTAAGTAGTTATACAACAATAAATTTTCTATCGCGGCTGTTTGTGTAAGTTGAAATGTGTAATCAGTTACAGCATAGTTGTTTTAAGTAGCCTGCCGTCGGTGTGTGTTTTTTTTCTCTCACAAATGTCGTACTTGAAAATACAGCATGAGAACAATGCAAAAAATTGTCACAATGACATGACCTTCGAATGTTGATAGGGCCAGCAAAACGCACTACTGCGACCTCCCACAGAAATACCTCCCTGTCTCTCTGATGGTAATGTTTACAAACTCTCCATGTGATTTAGGAGTTAACCCGTCAATGCTTCTCCACTTAACCGTACCATGCATGGGATGTTCATCCATTTTTTTTTCCACTTTGAAGCTTCGTCAGAAAGCTACGAGGGCTCCTAAGTTTAGACCCATTTGATAGGACTATGGATTCTCAGAAGACATGTGCCTATAAACAATGTATATAGTTCACCATCCTCTTACCGGCAAACACCTGCTTGGACCTGATTAAAAAAGCAAACTATGTAAGCATCCCTGTTATATTATCCTGAGTCATTTTGGAATAGAACTTTGGTATGGGAAGTTTTATCTTCTTTGATGTCTTGCCCCCACTCCTGAATCTCTTCACATCGGTTATGGATTGTACAACACCTTGGTCCTTGTTCTGGGTACCAAAAACAGCGTGGTGCATCACTTTACTCGATGATACATCGTCCATCACTATTTCTAGCGTACAATTATATCTCTAGCACACCATTTACACTACACGAGCCTCATTCCTTTCCCTGAAAAGTAAAGGCTGCTCTTGAGTATGAGGAATGATTTAAGTAATGGCCACTCTACTCAATACTCTACACCTGGTGTGCTAGTGATATTAGATATTCGATTGCATAGGCTTCACTTCTCATACACGGCTAACCTGCGCCCTATCATTTTATATTAAATTATTTTCTCCTTCATGTCCGAATCGAGATTGATCCTTGGTACTTATTTTATGCAATGTAATTTTAAGTGTTAAATGTGCAATATCATATCTCGCATACAGATTGTAAATAATGAAACCGGCTGGTGTAGAAGTTTAATTAATCATGTATGAGTTTTATAATGTTTATGCATTGTTTTTAAAAGTGATATTGTGTCGCTTTTCCATCAAATTATTTATTTAAAGCATTCCCATTTGTTAACACTAACTGACATTTATTTTCACTCGAGGAAATTGTGTATTTGTAAAATTATTTCTTTAGAAATATCTTTATACTAAATATTTTATCACATTATTTTTCCTTTCATTAAAAAAAGTTTTAATTAGTATGATAATTGTTTTTTTTTTCGTTACATATTTTTTCAGGTGCAACGAAACTATGTTTTGTGGCTATTCTTCGGGCGTGAAAACATGATCTAGGTTAAGCAGTGGACTTGTATTTTATTGCTGTTATTAAGTTGAATGACTTTTACCATTTATCGCGTTTTAATGTGTTAGCGGAAAAGACAGAAAAAAATGAACTAAAAGTAAAAGTGATTATAGGAGCTGTTTGTTAAATACACGAGTGATCTTAGAGCTATGAAAAATGTTTGAATTTTGGAAAACTTTGAAAAGTTATTAACCGCGCATAAGATTATCTTTTTCATTCTTTAACATGCCATAATGATATATGAAATGTAGTAAAGATTTGCCATAATCACCACGCATGGTAGAAATAACAGGAGCAGATGCCTTACACATTTGACGCTGCTCTCCGACGCTGGTTTGCATAACTTCATCTGTTTTTACAATATGGTACACCGCCATCTGCTACAGACCACGGGGCCTTTCCCAAATAGTGTTACGACACTCACGGAACAAACTGAGGTGATGTATTGGGTATGTTCCAAAATAGAACCCACAAGTTACAAGTGTACTGTCCAATGCAAATGACGTCATGAATCGACGCTATACTGGTGATTCTTTCCGAAACATACGACAGTATATGACGTCATACATTTGCGCCATATTGGAAAAGTGTTGGCGATTATTTTGTCATTTTGTGCTCCAAAAATCATTGTATCCTCCTAATGGAGATACCAGCAATTATTCTATAATTTTTTGTATTTGAATAAATAAAAACAAATTCTGGCATGCTTCATTCAGCGCACACACAATTAAAAATTGTTTTATTGTGGCCGGATATCCGACACAATATGGCGGCGGCACGCCAGTACAATATAGTGTCAGTTGATGACGTCATTTGTATTCGGCAGTATACTGGAAACGTTTCGGAACAAATACCCATTATCTTATGTTCTTACACGTACATACAAAGTACAAGCCGCCAAACCCTCACTAGACCTAGTGGGGTTGCACGTAAAGTGGAGACTGCGACGTCCCTCGGCCAAGAGAGATGTGCTGGTCGAGTATTTCTACGAATTTTGCTTTTTAATTTGGAGTGAGATTAAATGAATTGCTGCTTTTTAATATTAGAAACCTAGCACCACACAACCCAAAAGAGACGTCATAGGCGAAAATTTATCGACCAAATTGGCGATTTATTAAAAATGAGCCAAATTAGGAGTACCCCTAACCGACGAGCATGTATGCGTAGGTATATGGGTGTGAAGGAGGCGAGAGAGGTGTGTCAGGATCGTGCCAAATGGAAGTCTGTAGTCTCTGCATATCCCTCTGGATGACAGGCGTGAGTGTTTATGTTTTATAGCACTATTTCGGATATCGAATGACACATGACATTCTAAAATTCAAAAACACTTCGATTTAAATCTTATTTTACAAAAGTTTTGTTTTTAAAATCTTATATTTGAACACATTTAAGATTTTAAATCCATTTTAAAATTTTATAAATAATAATTACAGAACATTCTTTCCGATGACGATTGATGATCTGAATTGATCTAGATATTACCGTTTAGAATCTTATGCAAGAAGTGAGGGAGGGGTACCGAGAAATCTTATGTTCTCTTACGTAGAGGTAGTAATTAATAAATGGCCCCTAATGAATAAATAAAGAAAATGTTAACAAACCATTTTACAGACAGTAACAATGGGTAACTTAACCTTTTGAGCGCCAAAGTCGCCTATACTTGACCAACACCTGCGGGCCCTGAACGTCAACGACGTCTTTTTTGTCAGATGACAAAAACCCGGCCCACAAAAATGTGAAATATAAATATTGGAAAATTATTACTGGTATTTTAATTCTACACCTCAAAAAAGAATAACCCAGCAACATGTGAGTATAAAAGTCTCCTAGAGCCATAAGTACTAAGAAACAAAGAACTAAAAATTTATATTTATCTAAGCAAATACTAATACTATGTCCAGCACGCCAAAGTCCTCTATGATTAACCGCTAGTGTCGTAAGCGGTAGGCATATATTTATTGAAAACTATCCAAAATTCAGCTCAAACGTGATACTGTTTTTCTATTATTACTGATATTTGAATAAAACAAAAGGTTAGAAACATAAAACTATAATTACTTGAATAAAAAATGTTATCAAATCATCTTCGCATAATAAATCTAATATCTCAACTCTGGCGCATCCTTAGTACGTCATCGAAAATAAGTTCACTGGGCGCCGTGATCAAGGATAGACGACACCCTGATGACGTCAAAAAAAATTGACCAGTATCTTTTCACCCTCTCAGCATACACTCATTCCTTAATTAGTTTTTCTTAATATAAGTTATTTTGTTTTCAGTACCATTATAATAAACATTACACATTACGGTAAATGTTATGTATACCTGTAATTGGCAAACATATGTAACCATATACATTTGTTATTGTGTTGTTGTTAATGTTTCATGTGTTTTGCTGTTGGTATACCTTATGAATAAATAAAAAATATAAAATTACAAGTAATAAATGTGTTATTTTACTTAAGGTATGAAGAACAATTTTCATTTTGTGTTGTGCGATTTTATTTCTCAATCTCAAAATCATCTGGTAGCATCAGCATCATATCAAATCTCCATAGTCATAAGAGCGTAAGACTTTTCTTCTGTGCTTCACTTGGCCTACGCCTCCCCGACACATAAAATATTTTGAATCGATATCTGTATATTTTGGTAAGATCGAAATCGATACACAACGTGCGACACGGCTACATCTCTAAGTTTCAAAAAGGAAGGTCAGCTACGCCGTTGTCGTTCACTCGTGACAGTGACGTCATCATGATGGAGAGTAGTGCTGTGGCTTACTACTATTTTATTGTTATTGTTTGTTTTTTATTTATGTACAAAGTACATATATAAAAAGAGTGGAAGACAGCACAAGATTAAATAAAACATACCAGATTATAAAGTCATTTATTGCATAAAAAACCAACAAAATCAAGTTATTTTATGTTATCGATATATCAACTCTTGGCATATTACTATTTTTTTCGTAGGTATTTTTGTTTACTTTTCGCTTTGGCGTACAGGACACGGTAATGCGTTTTTGGCGTGGCGCTCAAATACGGGCTCCAGACTCCTGTGTGATTCACGGCGTGAATTCATGCCGTAATTTTGCCGTGAAGTCGTCGCGAAAAACACATCCCTCCACATTCGCAATCGTTCACAGTTTCACAGAGAATCACAGAGCACTATTTTATATATAGGAAGAGAATGGACGCTGAAATATGCACTGCTATCGCCGTGACGCTATGCGCTTTGGCTCACGACAATTATTACGTGTATATAAAAGATAAAAAAACCGTATTTGGAGTTTTTTTTGCAACTATCACTTTCTCCTAGAAAAGCATCGATCACGTCAAAGGCAATTCAAATAGGCTTGTAAATTTTAACGCTGCTTGCTCTAGACTTCCTTTCAGAATCCTTCACCTATTTCTTATAATTTCTATAACTGTACATTAGACTTTCTATTTTCAATCAGTCACTTCAACGCTTTTCGTGGCAGAGCCATGCTGCAGTTATATAAGTTGTATAGTTGTAGCACGAATGGGTTGGCTCGACCGGGGAAGCATCACGCTCTCATAGAATACCAACGTAAAATAGTAGCTTAATGCTGCTGTGTTTCGTATGGTGAGTGTAGAGATCCGGAGACCCCTTTTACTGGAAACGAGGCATTTTATCTTAGTCCTCACGGGTGACAATGCATCTGCATTTTGATGCGTAATTTAGATGTAGATGTCAGTGATTAGGTGGACCTTGTGCTTGTTTGTCATCCTATCCTACAAAATAAAATAATATTCACTATTTCCTTTATTGGTACCCCACGCGTCATGTACTTTTATTTTATTTTTATTATGCTCTTTGTGTTTAGCATCCCATAAAATGAGTTCGGCGTGATAACACTCGATCAACAAGAGTTCCTTCCTGCTCGTTCGTCCAACTGACACTCATTTTGATGCACCGTCCTCCGTAAAAAAACACAAATAAGCACAACCTCACAGCAACGAGTCTCGCGCGTTACTGATTTCACGCGCGAGTGTGGATGCGCTCGTGTTCACGGGAGGTTCACGCCTCGTAAACCTTTTGAAGCGGTCACTAAATACCGACACTGAACGGGGAACATGGCGTGAAAAGGCGCGAAGCCCGTGAAAGGGCACGAAAGCCATCCACATTCGCGGTTCACGCCTTTCACAGGTGTTCACGGCGTGAATGTGGAGGGCGCTAAAAGGTTAAAAATAAAACACGTAATTGCGGTTTTGTATAAATTTTATTACAAACTTTGTTGTTTTTTTGGACTTAACTGAAAATAATATAATGAACATCCTAAGTAAAGCCGGAGGGCCAACGTTGTGTTGCAACATTTAAGTTGAAATGGCTTGTCACAGCAATCTATGTTTTTTTTTAAAAGTTCATTATAATAATCACAATTTATTATTGTTAGTGTTTGTTGTCTTTGTCTGCATATATATTTTCAAGACTTATGATCGATATATTGGGACAATGAGAGCAGACTGTATAATCACATAAAATAATAACACAATAGATTGCTGCTGAATGATACAAAATTACAGGACAGGCCATGATGAATTAGAATTTAATTCTATGAAACAATATTCCATACAATACAATATTCACTGAAAATAAACCAATTGACAGAAATAATTTAAAAAAATATAACAATTGTCGCTTTTACAAATACAGAACACAATGAGCAACAGTATTTCACTACTTGTTATTGTTAGTTGATATCACTCTTTATTGTTGGAATGGAATAAATAAGCCTTGCAACAAATTTAAATTATATATGAATATATATGTTTACATACAATGCACTTGCTCCTCGATTAGGACGACTTTTATAAAATTAAATAAATACTAAAAAAAGAACAAGCGAACAGACCAGAGTGTATGCAATTATCTACTTTGGAGAAAAATACTTTTAGTATTGGCCATATAATTGCACCATTACCTTGATTTACAAATAAAATATATCCAAAAAGGTAGTAAAGGAATAACATTCCTCGTTTATGAAGTTACACAAATCCAATGGATTATAATAGTTCTAAATAAGTGAAAAGTTTAGAGGTTCCGTTATTATATTAATCTACAATAACACGTTTGCAGGTGTTGCTACAAACATTTTTTACATAAGATGAATTTATTTACAAATATTTCATTCAATTGAACTTCTTTAATTTCAGTGATTTCATAACATATTTGTATTTTACTGTTGAACACGGAACCTCAACAACTGAACATTACAACTATAGCTATCAGCAGTAAGATATTTAAAACTGCTTCAGATAACATACATCGCTATCTAGTAATGCTTGGCTCAAAACCAGGGCATTGTTATTATAACTTTTGTACTTTTATTTTATAAATTGTAAGTACATGACTAAACTACTCTGCATATAATCGTTTATTTCGAAAGCCGTGTTGGGAATTCTAGTGTTTAAATAAAACCCGCTATCTCTAACTGCGATTTGGAGGTACTTAACCGAAAATTGAAATTTTTAAATTCTAATTTGCAACGAAAAATAACGATATTAATATACTATATTCGAGACGGTAGTTTCGTATATCTTAATTTTGCTAAGAAAATTATTGTTTTCAGTTTAAAAAAGATAAAGCTTATCAGAATTACAAAAGGCCTATTTAAAAATAATCAATAACCTATAATAGTATGTTAAGATAGCAGTGACTTGTGAACTTGATATATAATATGATTATGTGCAATGAATTGTAAATATCAATCTAGTGCCTGATAAAAACGTATTACAGGAGCCTTAAAAGTTTACGCATTACTAGTGAGCGAGTATTGTTTAGGTTGCTTACAAACGGGCGCATTTCCATAAGATTTGTAATAAACGTAGCCATATCTTAAACTGGACAAAAATTAGGTATCATTATTACAAAACTACGTACAGGGTTTACACTTATTTTATTAAGTAAATCTTTTTATTTGAGCGAAGCCATTGTGATGTGAATTTGCAGTGTATTTTTACTATGACTTAACAAAGTAAAATTTCATCATGATATTTTTATAAGAAGTCCTCATAGTCAGCTAGCCTCAAAACATTGAAGTGATGGCGTTGGTTTGCTGACGGAATAAATAAAAATTATAATGAAATAATTATAGTAAAGATGGCTACGTCCATACTTGAATCATGAAAAGCATACGAATATAAGCAAGCCGTGTTCACAGAAGAAGCTTGTTCAGTCGATATATTGAGCTAACCAGCGGAAGCCCTCGCCGTAGCCCTGGCGTTTCAACACGGAGCACATGAACAGTTCCAACGGTCTGCCTGGCAACTCTGATCTCGAAACTTTACCCTGAAACAAGAAAAAAGTGGTTAGTATTATAAGTTTAATGTTTTTTTTTATAGTAAATTGTTATCCAACTGTAGTGTATAGACAATCGTCTAATGAGTCATCGCTACTAGTGTATAAATACCCCCCACTTTGGGAACATCGGGCGGTTGGATCGTAACCGGCGAGCAGACAACATATCTGTTAAAACACGTATAACCGTTAGGTGTGTACCGTGTAAAGTGAAGTGTGTTAGTGACATTGTGTAATAAAGCAACGTATTGTATATTGGCGACGAGGAAACAATACTGTAAGTAATTACAAATGTTTTTAAATAAACTGGAAAAATTTTATGTAAGGATTTGATGTATTCTCTTTTAAAAGATAGGTTATAATGCGGAGCCTAAAGTTGGGGACAATTAGCAATAGCAGTTTAATTGTTTATGCAGTGATTTATCTTTGTTAAAATCAAATGGACACTCCAATGAGATGGTCCAGGAGCATGGACACTTATTAGTGATGGTCCAAGATTTACTAAAGCAAAGGTCCAGTCATGGACATGCTATAGGTCCCAGAAAACGGTTTAAATTATTAAAGGCTGAGTTGTCTTAATTTATCTTAGTTAAAATCAAATGGACACCCAATGAGACGGTCCAGGAGCATGGACAATTATTGGTGACGGTCCAAGTTTTACTAAAGCAAAGGTCCAGTCATGGACATGCTTTAGGTCCCAGAAAACTGTTTAAATTATTAAAGGCCGAGTTTTCGTAATTTATCTTTGTTAAAATCAAATGGACACCCAATGAGACGGTCCAGGAGCATGGACAATTATTGGTGACGGTCCAAGTTTTACTAAAGCAAAGGTCCAGTCATGGACATGCTTTAGGTCCTAGAAAACTGTTTAAATTATTAAAGGCCGAGTTGTCGTAATTTATCTTTGTTAAAATCAAATGGACACCCAATGAGACGGTCCAGGAGCATGGACAATTATTGGTGACGGTCCAAGTTTTACTAAAGCAAAGGTCCAGTCATGGACATGCTTTAGGTCCCAGAAAACTGTTTAAATTATTAAAGGCCGAGTTGTCGTAATTTATCTTTGTTAAAATCAAATGGACACCCAATGAGACGGTCCAGGAGCATGGACAATTATTGGTGACGGTCCAAGTTTTACTAAAACAAAGGTCCAGTCATGGACATGCTTTAGGTACCAGAAAATGGTTTAAAAATTGTAATGCTGCGTTCATTCGAAATGTTCCCAGTTTATTAGAAAAGGTACCAAAATATTGGTTATTATCTGCTTGTATATTTCCTATCTTGCAGATTAAAAAAAATGTCGTCACTACCCCCACTAGAATAGTTTGATTGTGATGGGGATTCTCACGGTGTTGGCGCAAAATGGGAGAAATGGAAGCGACGATTGGACATTTATCTAGAAGCTGCAAATATTGAACTACCCGCAAAAAAAAAGAGTTACATTATTACACATGGGTGGCCTTAGTCTCCAAGAAATATACTATAATATACCAGGAGCCCATGTTAGCAGTATAGATGATGCAACGAAGGATGTTTACGTTATAGCTATTGAAAAGTTAGACGACTACTTTGCTTCAAAACAAAGCAAAGTATATGAGAGACACTTATTTCGGCTAATGAAACAGGAATCTGGAGAAAAATTTGAGAAATTTTTAATTAGATTAAGAAAACAGGCTGATAAATGTGGTTTTGCAAATAAGGACGAAAGCATTATCGATCAAATTACAGAAAAGTGTTACTCTAGTGAACTTCGTAAAAATTTTTTAAAAGGTGGTGACAAAATGACATTAGAGGATATCATAATAGAAGCCAATACTTTAGAAAGTGTGAATAGACAGATGAATGAATTTACTCACAACTCCGCATGTAATAGCAGTACCGTGAATATAATTGACAACAGAAAAAAGATGTTTAATAAATCGTGTAATAGGTGTGGGAGCTTTAAGCATATGCCTCGATCAATAGAATGTCCCGCAAGGAAAATTAAGTGCCATAAATGTGGTATAACGGAACACTTTCGGAAATATTGTTTGACAGGAAGGCCATCTAAAAGACAATTTTCAAGTTCAAAAGATCCTACCGTCACAAAAAATCAAGGAGTGACGAATAGGAAGAAATCGATTATGTTTTTCATATAGATGACGACACTAATATTATTTGTTTGGTAGGTGGTGTCAAGACGTCATTATTGATCGATTCCGGATGTAAATGTAATTTGTTAACCGATGTCACGTGGAGAAAACTAAAGAGGAATAAAATAAATGTTTTTGACATGGATAGATCACCGGATAAAACATTTTACGCCTATGGTAGCACTAAGCCACTAAATATTTTTGGATCGTTTAAAATTCATGTACAAGTCAATGACAAAATTGAGGTTGCTGTTTTCTATGTGATAAAAACGGCACTAAAGATATCTTGGGGAAAGTAACGTTCTTAGCACTGGGCGTTCTGCGATTAAGTGTCGGTGCAAACGCCGTTGAGTCAACATCTCATAAAAATATAGCAGCATTTCCAAAATTTAAAGATGTTATTGTCGAGATGCCTATTGATGAGAAAGTAACGCCAGTAAGTCAGCCTTACAGGAGAATACCTATACCCCTAGAAACAAAAGTTAATAAAAAAAATCAAGAACTATTGGAGCTCGATATTACCGAAGAAGTATCTAAGCCGACCTATTGTGCCTGTTTTAAAAGACAATGGGGATATTAGGATCTGTATCGATATGCGAAGAGCTAACGCAGCAATAATTCGCGAAAATCATCCACTACCAACAATGGACCAGCTGCTACCACATTTTAAAGATGCGAAATTATTTTCTCGCCTCGACATTAAAAACGCTTTCCACAAATCGAAATCCATCCGGATACCCGATACATCACTACATTTATAACTAGCAGAGGGTTATTTAGATACAAGAGACTTATGTTTGGTATTTCCTGTGCCCCAGAAATGTTTCAGAAAATCATGGAACGCACTCTTATACAGTGTGAAGGTACAGTAAATTTTATTGACGATATTGTCATTTTTGGATCAAATGAGGCAGAGCATGATCAACGATTACAGCGGACACTAAATATTTTGAAAGAGAACAATGTTCTGTTAAACAATGATAAGTGTATTTACAAAGTAAACAAAATATGAGTTATCTAGTGAAGGTGTAAGACCTTTAAAAAAGTACATTGACAGTATCCGAATGTTTAGAGCACCATCAACTATCGAGGAAGTACAAAGTTTCTTGGGGTTAGTAAATTTTGTTGGGAAATGGATACCAAAAATTTGGCGACACTCACTGAGCCGTTCCGGAAAATACTAAGGCTAAAGCTGGGAAAACATGCCGACATTAGAAAATTTTGGACTACAGACCAGGAAAACGCATTTTACAAAATGAAGAAAGCTCTATACAATATGCAGTCATTAGGATATTATGATCCGGCAGACAAGACTCAAGTTATTGCCGATGCTAGTCCTGTTGGGTTAGGGGCGGTGCTTATCCAAATTAATTCAAAAGGACCTAGAGTAATAGCATTTGGAAATAAGAGTTTAACAGACTGTGAAAAGCGTTACTGCCAAATTGAAAAGGAAGCGCTAGCCTTAGTATGGGCTGAAGAACATTTTCGAATATATCTTTATGGTAAAAGTGAGTTTGAACTGATAAGCGATCATAAACCATTAGAAATTATTTTTGGAAGAAGGTCTAAGCCTTGCGCCCGAATCGAAAGATGGGTTCTTCGATTGCAAGCCTATAATTACAAAATAGTGTACCGACCAGGTAAATCGAATATAGCTGACCCCCTTTCAAGACTTTGTACTTCTAAACATAATTCAGTAAATACAATACGTAATTTTGATGAGGGACATATCGGGCATATAATTGAATACTCAAGACCCGTAGCCGTATCGCTCAACGATATTGAACAATTTTCCAAGCAGGATTCCGAAATCGCTAAAGTAAGGCAAGGCTTATACTCGTATACCTGGGATCCTACCATCGCAAATTATAAAGTATTTGAATCGGAGCTTTGTTTCCAAAATAATATTTTACTTCGAGGTACAAAAATTGTTATTCCTGAAAAATTAAGACAGCGAGTATTGAAAGCCGCTCACGAGGGTCCCCTGGTATTGTTTGTATGAAACAAAGATTACGGACAAAAGTATGGTGGCCTAAAATTGACAAAGACGCGGAAACCATCGTAAGAAACTATAAAAGTTGCACATTAGTATCTGCACCAAATCCACCTAATCCAATGAAGCGTCGTGAACTACCGGTCGAACCATGGACTGATGTAGCTATCGATTTAATGGGACCTTTACTCTCTGGAGATTTCCTGTTAGTTATTGTTGATTATTACAGTCGTTATAAGGCAGTAAAAGTGACAATAAGTGTAACTTCACATGATATTATTAGGTTATTAAAAGAGATATTTTCACGGCTTGGTTATCCAATTACCATCACTGCAGATAATGGCAGGCAATTTGTTAGTCAAGAGTTTAAAAATTACCTGCAGGAATGTGGTATAACTCTTTACAACACAATACCATATTGGCCCCAACAGAATGGAGAAGTGGAAAGACAAAACCGAAGTATCCTAAAACGTTTAAAAATCAGTCAGGTTAAAAGAAAAAATTGGAAAGAAGATTTATCTTACTATCATCTGCTGATGTACAATAGCACACGCCACTGAGTAACTGGTAAAACTTCATCCGAACTATTCTACAAACGACAATTTCGGGATAAAATTCCATCATACATAGATATTGAAAATAAACAAGTAGATTCAGAAGTTAGACAGAGACGCGTTGCAAAAAGAAGCAGGAAAAACTTACAGTGACCGCAAGTGAAAGGCAAAAGACCACAACATAAATGAAAGCGATAAGGTAGTTGTAAAAAATTTCGCCAAAGAAAATAAGCTTACACCAAGCTTTTCTCCAGCTATACATACTGTTGTAAAAACTACTAACACTGGAGACGTAGTGATTCGCAATAATGATACAAATGAACAGTATCGACGAAATGTGGTTCACTTAAAAAAAAATTGAAGGAGAGTGGAGAGTAGTTAATGATGAACAAGAAGATAGTTTACCCAATTTGCATCAAGAAGTAATAGAGAATAACACTGATGAAATTAGGATGATTATTGAAGACTAATTTAAATTATTTTTGTAACAGAAAAAATCAACTATTGATCATGCATGGAAACAGAAATAAAAAATATTAAGAAAAAAGAAGAGATGTAGTGTATAGACAATCGTCTAATGAGTCATCGCTACTAGTGTATAAATACCCCTCTCTTTGGGAACATCGGGCAGTTGGATTGTAACCGGCGAGCAGACAACATCTCTGTTAACATCTCGTATAACACGTGTGTGTACGTGTAAAGTGAAGTGTGTTAGTGACATTGTGTAATAAGTGATACCGTGTACATTGTACAAAATAAAGCAACGTATTGTATACCAACGTTTAAATTTCTTTTGTGTTGTAAAGTCATCTCGGAGTCAGAACTACTATATACAGTCCAAATAAATACTTGTTCTTGCAGGAATGGAACCTGCAACGCGTAGCATTAGCCTTTGCACAGCAGTGTCAAACTTCACTCTTTTCTTCAGAAGTTAATTGGGCATGAACAATGGAATTTGGAACAAATATACTACTAGTTAATTGTCTTGCCATTATCTTTAAAAAAACATTACTCCCACGCCAAGGTTTGCCCACTGTGTCACGGAGACGTTCCACACTCGCACATAGACGAACTTTTAACTACCCGAAACTATTAGTTGTATACCATACAAATACTAATTCCGCGCGGGAATCGAACTTGCAGCGAGAAAAAAGCTTATCGATATTAAACTTCAAAATTTACTAAACATAAACAACACAGCGCTCATTATGTTACATTTAGCTCATTAATTAATGGAGCTCTCCCCGATCTTTTCGCTGACACGAGAAGAGAATAAATGAAGTGGTTTTGCATATAATGAACGTTCCACGCACATTCGATGTCAGTCAGCAGATGTCGCTATGCGCGAAATCAATTAACAAGTCGTTAGTATCACCACCAATCATAAAAAACGAACGTCTAACACTGACTCGTAAAAATGCTTTGTGAAGTTAAAATTCATCAGAGTATTTGATAATGATATAAAAGCTGCACGAAAAGCAATTAATGCAACCTTAAACTTGACCTTGCTTTGACAGAGGAGGGCGGGCTGTCACCGCAATTTTTTGTATTGAAAACTTTAGGCACGTTGGGCACTTTTGGAATGGGCGAAAAGTACACTTTGAAAGCACATGTGACCGTCACATTCAGATACATAAAATTGACGAAAGTAGTATTGAAAATGCAATTGATAAAATTTATATGTATTTATAAATTTGTATTATATAGATAATTTTTTATTTCATATAAAAACAGCGCAATAAATACTTTTAATACTATATTAATTAGTAGATAAAAATAATTTATAATAAAAAATACTTCCTAGAAATATTTCTTAACAACTCAAAAATAATTACAAGTTAGTGAAGCTAGAAAGTTTTCATTTCTGACGTGCAGTTCTTTATTATTTTAAGATATTATTAGAAAGATGCTGCCGCCCATCTCCTGTTGCAATACCTTTTGTCGCTTCATGCAACATCCAATAAACGATAAGAGGTGAATATGGGATCCTGTAATTAATCAAATAAAAACTAAACCCAAGCATATCACCGCAAGACTTTTTTTTATTTTTATAGAAGAGGGAGCAAACGAGCATGCGGCTCACCTGATAAGTGACTGCCGCCGCCCATGATCAACCGCAACACCAGAGGAATTGCAGGTGCGTTGCCGGCCCTTTAGAAAGGAGTAAGCTCTTTTCTTGAAGATCCCCAGGTCGTATCGGTCCGGAAAAATTGCTGGTGGTAAACTATTCCACAGAGAGGTTGTACGCGGAAGAAAACTCCTCTTGAAACCTACAGTGGTGGACCGTCAAGCATCCAGATGGTGTGGATGGTATCGGGACGTTTGCCGCGTAGTGCGTTCACGAAATTTGGCGGCTGGGATTAATCCGAAAACAATTCCCCAGAGCACTCTCCATGGTATATTCGAAAGAAAATGCAAAGAGATGCCACATCTCTTCGCAGTGCCAGTGAATCGAGCCGATCGGAAAGCACTCGGTCGTCGACGATTCGAGCCGCTCTGCGCTGGATGCGGTCAAGTGAAAGGAGCTGGTACTGGGGAGCCCCAGCCCAGCAATGGGAACAGTATTCCATGTGCGGCCGAACCTGCGCCTTGTAAAGTTGCAGGCGGTGTGCCGGCATGAAACACTGTCCCGCTCTGCTGAGCACGCCAAGCTTTTTAGAGGCTGATTTGGCCTTCTCTTCCAAGTGACCACGAAACTTCACGTCACTCGATATGTCTACGCCGAGGATTCCGATACTGGCTGAGGCAATAAGGGGAGTGCCTTGAAACTGAGGAGATACGACAAAGGGGTTCTTTTTAGCGGTTAACGCGCAAACTTGTGTCTTTTGGGGGTTAAACTGGACTAGATTTAGTCGCCCCCAATCCGAGACTCTGTTCAGCAAAGACTCTACTTCAGACACAAGTTTGTCCCGGCACTCGGAGACGTTTTCCCGAGAAATGTTGGCTCGGCCGGTGTAAAGAGCATCCATCACCAGTGCTGTCATCTGCATAGCAATGACTTCAAGACACAGTAAGTTCATACGGCGTAGATCGGACCATAAATAATAATTATAAAGCCGAAGGTTGTCTGGGTTAACATTGACATGGGGACGTCAGTCACCTCAGTCTCCCGTGACCATGGGGGCTGGAAAGTACCCGAAACGTTGGAAATTAAAAGTCAAGTAAATTAAACGCGATAAAATCCGTAAAAGTAGTTTTAATCGATATGAGGTGATGATTCTTTAATGCTGCCAATAGAAACGTACATTAAAGACTCTATATGAAAAAAATTCACGAAAAGACCACTAGGTCACTTGCGTGTGACAATGCTCTTGACTAAAAGCGAACGACCGACGACATCTATAAAAACTGAGCTTGTTAGTTATTAGCAATATGTTAGCAAATAAACTTAGAGATTTGGAAGTCGTATTTGTAAATAAATGTCGCGTGTTTTAAAAATATATAACAATTTATCATTACCATTTGTACACACATACATATAACAATAATATTTACCTTTCCTGTGGTCTGCTGATACAAATTAAAGAACTGGCGCAGATCGTCCTCGCTGGCGGCGCCCGGCTTGTCGATCTTGTTACCGAGGATGAGCACGGGACAGTTGCTGAGCGTCTCGTCGGTGAGCAGCGAGTCCAGCTCGGCCTTGGACTCGGGCAGGCGCGCGCGGTCGCATGCGTCTACCAGGAACACGATGGCGTCCACTGCCGGGAAGTAGTCACGCCACACGCGCCGCGCCTGCTGATGCCCGCCCAGGTCGAACGTCGTGAACCGCATGCTGCCTATCGACAGCTCCTCCGACGCTGCAATTTATTCCTTTCTATTGTAGTGTGTTTCTCTAACGCTTTATAATAAGTGTCTAGTGGTTGTATACGCGACTCCCGATCATGACGTCCCGGGTTCGAATCCCGGGTCGGGCTTAAAATCAGTTATTGGGTTTTTCTGTGAAGAAATTGTCAGTAGCAGGCTGGAGTTAGGAAATTGGCGGTGTTTACCCCCTTGCCTCGGAAACCCAATAAAGCCATTGGACGTGCGCCTGTGTCTTCGGCCGTGTGGGACTACCGTCCCATCGGACTATAAGAGTGAAGGAAAAGAGTACACTTGCTTGCTTGCACATATACTCGAACACTATAATCCTGTCCTGCGCACATGGCTATCCGTTGAGACGAGTCCATGACCGAAATTCGGTCTGAAGGACATTATAATACATTACTAATACTGAATGATAAGGACGGTAAATGCTATGATATAAAAAAATAAATTACGTGGTAGAGCCACGCTGCAACTATATTGTGGTTGTAGCACGAATGGGTCGGCTCGACCGGGCTACGACCACGCTCTCACAGAATACCAGCGTAATATAGCAGCTTAATGGTGCTGTGTTTCGTATGGTGTGTGTAGAGAATCGGAGACCCTTTTTACTGGAAACGAGGCATTCCATCTCAGTCCTCAGGGCTGGCAACGCATCTGCATTTTGATTTTTAATTGAAGATAACTGTAGATGTCTATGGGCTACAGCATCCACTTAACATCAGGTGGGCTATGTGCTCGTTTGTCACCCTTATACTATATATAAATAAAACCAACAGTGCTGAGTGCAGAAATTGCACTGTTTTATTACTTAATCTACCACTAAATCTGTAGAAAATAAGTACTAATGATCGGGAGGTATTCTTCCAACAAGGAAATAGTTTTTTTTAATGAATATATTACAGTGGTTCATTAAAATATAATATTAATATGTTGTAAAAGCATAATTTGTATTTTACATTTCTTCCGCAATTATCATACGTTTAAAAAAAATGGGCTGATTGGTATGAACAATCAACTATTTGAAAGTCAGTGTTACTTTAGTCTAATTTATATGTGAAAGTGCTATGTTGCAATTACTATAGATTTTTAGTGATGGTTAGCGAGCCGGCTCGACCACGGAAGAACCGTTGTTCTATGTTGTTCTACGTGGAAACATGTTGTTATTCTGTGGTATCGATACCACAGAATAACAACATGTTTCCGTGTGTCGGTGTGTGATGTGAAGCGGAACCAATTATTGCAACCGTTTTGTTCCAACTTCATACACCGAGTTGGTTGGTAATGAAAGATAAGAAAGAAAAAGGAGTATGAAGAATTTTACACATGACCTTCATTGCTACACTTTGCATCATAGAGCTAACCAAAACATTTAAAAAAAATTAATGATAATTTTTGTTTCCCAATTGCTTTAATGATAAAAACGTGCCTACAATTTATACGTGAAATACCAATACGAGCGTGAGTTACCAATAACATTCACTGTACTATATTGCATTGTTAATATGTATGTCATATATGATTAAAAATTGGTTCATGTCAACTTTTAAACAGAAGTTGGAATATGGAAAAAATTATACAAAATGAAGATTTACAAATAAAATATATACTTACAGTATGTATGTTTATAATTACACCTCCATAAATAATTTATTGTGATAATTATGTCTCAAGGAAAAAGATTTCAATGTTGTATAAATAAGGCATTAGTCTCAGGAGTTAAGGTTAAATATCCACATTGTTTTACAGATTTACATTAGCAAGATTATTGTGCACATATATAAATAATAAAAATGTTGTTTTTAAACTAGTTATATATTATGAAGTATGAAACCAGTTATTCAATCTTTAATATATAATACATGTCTATTGATATATGTTTATTACTTTTATTTAGTAGTGCTTCTTGCAATGCAGCTGTGTACCAACCTGAAGAGTATAGATACCCAGTATAATTACAGGCTGTGAGGCATTCCATCTTAAACTTCAGAGATGACGAAGCATATGTCTAACAGTGGACTGCAGCAGACTAACTATAATAATGACTATGATGATAATGTGGAATCACTTGTTTGATCATTATTATTATTACAGTTTATCTAAAGTTGACTGCTGAACATATTGCCTCTCCCCATAGCATTTGGGCCAGTGCTCCCAAGCCCCAGCGGAGGGATGTCTCAGTGATGAGTTCAACCACAAAGAGCTAGATTGCTTCATAGGGGGGATATTTGTCATATTTGTGTGGCCGGTGAGGAAAAGGGGAGATCTCCCGCCGGGCAAGATGTTCTGCCCGGGGAGCGGCCGACACTCCGTGTGATAGTTCGGAGATGTTCTATATATACTGTTTATGATTCGGAATGTTGATAGCGCGATTTAGGCTTCGGTGTGTTTTCGCTTGTGGCGCGACGACAGCACCACTACATCACCCCTCTGCTCAGACCGGAGGTCGATAGTGCAGCCTCGTTGCTGACGAATGTGCAAGTGCCAGGAGATTGCCTTGTAGTCTGCGGTGAGTCGAGAGAAGGCAAGTAATCTGCGAGAGTGCCGTGAGGCAGAGGCGACCAGTAAGGCTCAGAGCCGTGCCGAACACTGTATAGCGCAGAGAGTAGCTTGAAGGTACAGGAAGCATTATTATTCCAGTGCTGCGATGAACCTTGTGAAGCTAGATGGCTTGCAGGATATGAAGACTGCAGACGATATCTACTCGGGAGCGAATGGGTGGGGTATTATATGACGATCATGAAGCTTGAAGTTTCCGAAGGTTATCGCTTGCGTGTTCAGATCACGTCGGAGTCACCACTGTGGCCGTGAAGGAAAATGGGAGATCTCCCGCCGGGCAAGGTGTTCTGGCCGGGGAGCGGCCTACACTCCGTGTGATAATTCGGAGATGTGTTTTCGCTTGTGGCGCGACGACAGCGCCGCTACAGTTGCTACGCTCAGCTGGCGGGTTTAACCGCAGTTTCTTATTACTTTTTACTACTTCTTGTGATTATCAGGAAAACGCTACTCTTACAACACCCAAGGGATGATATGGAGTAGTTGATTTTTATAGAATAAAATGTTACATGTGTTTTTAATGCAGATATCCATAGACTGTAAGTGGCTACTACTTACCATCGGACTGTAATTTCATTAGTCAATTTAGTTTAAAAAAATAACTTCTTCGTAATCAGCCCGTAAATGTATTGCTGAAAATAGGTGTCCCCTATTAATTGCCTTATAACGAGTATATTTTCCATAATTACCATGCTTTACACGCGGGATTGAACTGTGGAAGTTTTTTTTTATAATTATTGAGTTGTTATTAGGAAGATAATGCTGCCCATCTCCTGGTTCACTTCCCTTTGTCGCCGCTCACGACACTCACGGGATAATATGGGGTAGGGTCACTGACCTCTATATATAAAAGTACGCTGGACTGGCTATACACCGTAACATGATGAAGCGATTTGATTTCCACCATTTTGGCGCTGACAGCAGAAGTGCACGTCCACGGAACTAATAATAGGGATGAGACAGTGACAGACAGACAGACAGTCGATAAAATTCTATACCCTACCTATACCTAAATAGAACGGACTCTATGTAAAGATAGACTCTACCCGTAACGTCCATTCTATTTATGTATGATATTAATGTAATGTCATTATCATTCATCATCATTAAAGCCCTTCACAAGTCCACTGCTGAACTTAGGCTTACCCCAAGAAATGCCATAAAGCACGGTCCTGAGCCACCTGCATCCATCAACTTCCTGTATCTCTTACCAGGTTTTGACTCCATCTAGTGAGGGAACGTCCTACACTGCACCTGCCGGTACGAGGCTGCCACTCGAAAACCTTTTTTCCCCGTCGGTATTCGGTTCTTTGAGCTATATGGCCGGTCAATTGCCACTTCAGCTTACTAATCCAAAGGGTGTGATGTCTGTCACTCTGGTTCTGCTGCAGATATCCTCATTCCTAAGTTTGAACCCCTGAGCATAGCCCTTTTCATAGCTCGCTGAGCGACTTCGAGCTTCCTCATACGGCCAGCAGTGAAAGACCTCGTCTCAGATCCATAGGTCATCACTGACACTGACTGACGAGAAGATGTGTTGTAATCTCCCGAACGCTGCCCAGCCGAGTTGAATCCGTCGATTGACCTGTCGGTCGAAGTTGAACTTACCTAGTCGGACTATTTGTCCCAAGTAAAAATACTCGTCAACAACTTCAGCTAAGTGCTCCCAAAAACTACCGGCATAGATGTGACATGGACATTACACATGACTTTTGTTTTGTCCATGTTCATCTTAAGACCTATCCGTTGGAAGACACTATTGAGGTCATTGAACATAGTGCGTAGGTCCTCCAGCGATTCTGCCATAACGACTATATTTTCTACGATGCTATACCGTTCATCAGATTGCGGTAAAACTTAGTCAATTTATTAGTTGCACTTGTGCGAAGGTTATACGCATGGTACAATTAACTGACATTAGGTGGCGTGCGTATTATACTGACTATTTATTTGAAAGTTATATATCATTCTATTTCAATGATTGTATTATCATTCCTAATTATACAATATAACTGTTCCACATTTTAACGATATTTACACAATTACTTCTTCTGCGGCAGCAATGCGCCGGGTACGAGCTAGCAAAATAATATAAAAAAATATAAACTTTGAATTACATAGTTATCAGTTATTTACAACGTCATTTTCGAAATTAAAATAACAATATTAAAAAAATAACAGAAATTATCATACAGTCCTACTTTCCGTGGTATCGTCCGAAGAATGCTGGCTGCGTGTCCTCTCTGAATGGCTATACTTAGCCTTCAAGCGAGGAAGCAACAAACTAAACAACTTCTTATTACAAGCAGCGAATATCAGTCGCAGATACAGTTTTTTAGGAACTACACCGCACGTGCACCCTACGGACCAATAGTCTCTACAGCAAATTGCACAAATATGTACTCATCTTCTAGATAGATATTCTGGGCTATTTACT